CCTGAATTGAGGTGGTACTTGTGTTTGTGAAATGGCTGCTAATGCCACCCAAAACCATGATGGGTTGTTGCAAAACTTAAGAAAACAGCTTGCAGTGGCTGTTAGAAGTATCCAGTGGAGCTATGCAATTTTCTGGTCATTATCAACTACACAACAAGGGTATGTTACCTCCACGGTTTTTTTTTTTTTTTTTCACAAAGTTATTTCCATTCTTCTGTCAAATTCCTTTTTTGGGTGTCTTTCTCTTGACTTGTATATCTGGGTTTGTGTAGTTTTTGGAGTGTCTTGAATTTGTGGATATCATCTCTCTATCCAAAATGATAACTTTACTTTCTGGTCTAACTCAGATTTTTCTTGGTAAATTATGGCTTTTCTGCCGCAGAAAATGCAATGACGTTGCCTTATGGTAAAAATTGATGAAACTGGCATCTGGGTTGGTTTACTCGTTTCTTAAATTTCCTGAGAAGTTGATGTTTAATATCTGTATGTCATTTTGGAATGCAATTTAAGAGCTCAGATTTTGATTTCTTGGCAGCTATAAATGGACCACCTGAAAGTTAGTGGTATGAAGTCGGTGGGTTGTTTACCATTTGGCAGTAAAGAAATGTTACAATACACAAGCTTAATGCTTAGTCCCTTTTTTACATGGATATTTGTAGAAAATGGGAAAGTGGATAGTGAGGTTTTGCTGATTTGATGTGAAAATGGCCGCTGAAAGTATTTCCTCTTTTGATTAGTTATTAATAAATGACATATAATGAGTATAGTTTACATACTTTTCATTCATATTCTTTGTACTTACCTAGATAAAATGTGGTCTGGTCAACATTCTTTAGGGTGCTGGTGTGGTTTGATGGATACTACAACGGAGACATCAAGACTATGAAGACTGTCCAAGCCATGGAAATTAAAGCTGATAAAATAGGTTTACAAAGGAGCGAGCAACTAAGAGAGCTTTATGAGTCTCTTCTGGAAGGAGAAAGTGAGCAGGCTAATAAGAGGCCTTCTGCTGCATTGTCTCCGGAGGATCTCACAGATGCAGAGTGGTATTACTTAGTTTGCATGTCCTTTGTATTCCATACTGGCCAAGGGTACTATCTCTGTTCTATTGTTCAAATCTTAATTTTTTCTCTAACTGGCTAATGATGTTTCCCCTCATAATCTTGTATTATTACCACTGGTCTAACTGTAGTAACATGATACTTCAACATTGTTTCATAGTTTGCCAGGAAGAGCACTTGCAAATGGTGAAACCATATGGCTATGTAATGCTCAATATGCAGATAGTAAAGTATTCTCACGTTCTTTATTGGCCAAGGTAGATATTCCTTAATCTAGTTAAATTCAGTTTAAATGATATCATGTGTTCTGTATATAATCATGTATTACAACCAGAGAAACAAACTGACTTTTTGTGTTTCCTTGTTATCTTCTTTCTGCATCTGGTTGTTGACCATTTCTCTTAGAGTGCATCTATTCAGGTATGAGGAACTCTCCTTGAACACCAAAAAGAAAACTAAATATTTAAAAGTGAAGGAGATTATTATAACTGATGATCACAACACTGTCTGCTTGCAACTTAAAAGTTGAACCCATTTTACCAATCTCATTCATTTTGTGAACTTCAATGTTGACATTTTCCTTTGTTTTATTGTTGCAGACGGTTGTATGTTTTCCTCATCTTGATGGTGTGATTGAGCTTGGTGTCACTGAATTGGTAGTTTCTTTTCTGAAGTCAGATCCCCAAGATTCTGTTTTTTTGATTATATGAGCTCTGTAGCTTATTTACCCATTAAGTAATTATTCTTTCTTTTTATTTTCTGGGTTATCTGAAGATCCCGGAGGATCCAAGTCTCCTTCAACATGTCAAAGCTTCCTTATTGGACTTCTTGAAGCCTGTTTGCTCAGAGAAATCTTCCTCTCCTCCTCATAATGCAGATGATGATAATGACCCAATTTGCACCAAGGTCAGCCATGAGATAGTAGATACATTGGCATTGGAGAGCCTATATTCTCCCAGAGAAGAAATCAAATTTGATGGTGAGGGAGTTGATGACTTACAGGGAAATATCAATGAAGAAATCCACATGGATTCTCCTGATGAATGTTCGAAGGGCTGTGAGCATAATCACCAGACTGAAGACTCTTTCATGCTTGAAGGTATTAATGGTGGGGCTTCTCAAGTTCAAAGTTGGCATTTCATGGATGATGACTTCAGCAATGGCCTACCAGATTCCATGAACTCAAGTGACTGTATATCTGAAGCTTTTGTGCACCAAACAAGGGCTACTTCTTCTCCAAAGCGCGAAAATGTTGGAAAAATTCAATTGAAAGAACTTCAAGAAGGCAATCATACTAAACTAAGTTCCTTAGATCTTGGAGCAGATGATGACTCACAATACAAAAGAACTCTTTCTGCTATTTTGGCAAGCTCAAATCGTTTGACTGAAAACCTGTGTTTTCTTAGTTGTGGTAACAAATCCAGCTTTATGAGTTGGAAGAAAGGAGGAATAACTGATGGTCATAGGCTACGAGTACAGCTGAACATATTAAAAAAGATTTTATTTACGGTCCCTTTGATGTATGGCAGTTGCCCTCATAAGTCGCAGAAGGAAATATGCGGAAAAAATTGCCTTACAACAATGGGAAGGGATGATTTTTGCGCTGGACATGTTTCATCAGATCAGAGAAGAGAGAATGAAACATTTATGGTCCTAAGGTCAATGGTTCCATCTATTTGTGAGGTGATTCTGCTATAATCTGTTCAAATTATGTTGTCATTTCTTTTTTCTGATAATCTTTTCTCTAGGTTTCTGTCACTGTGACAAAATACTTTGGGAAGTTTACGAAAGTTATCAACAATATCTAATTTCTGAACCATGCAGCTTATTGACACTCTAATTTAGTTAGTAATGCCTTCACAATGACTGCAAATTTTCGAAATGACTTTCCCCTTTCTTCATTGTTTTTTTTTTTTTTTTTTCATAAATCATTGTTGGGAAATCAAATGCTTGGCTGTCTTCTGATTTTCTTATCAGTTAAGTTGATCGTTTTTATGCAGGTTGACAAAGCATCAATTCTCAATGACACTATTAAATACTTGAAAAAGCTTGAGGCAAGAGTAGAAGAGTTGGAATCCTGCATGGACTCTGTTGATTTTGAGGCAAGGCCTAAAAGAAATCACCTGGATATGGTAGAACAGATATCTGATAACTATGACAACCAAAAAATTGATCAGGGAAGGAAGCCTTGGATAAACAAGAGGAAGGCCAGTGACATTGATGAAACTGACCCAGAAACCAATAAAGTTGTTCTCAAAGATGGCCCACCATTCGATGTGAAAATCAGTATTAAAGAGAAAGAGGTTCTGATTGAGATGAGATGTCCATATAGAGAATTTATATTACTAGATATCATGGATGCTATAAACAATCTGCACTTGGATGCCTACTCAGTTATATCGTCAAATCTTGATGGCATTCTCACCCTGGCCCTTAAATCTAAGGTTTGTGTTAAGGTCACTCTTAGCAGATTCCCCTCTCTCTCCCCACTCTTTTTCTTCATCTTCTCTGCATAACTTAGTATATTTGGACTTACTTTAATCTGGCCTTCAGTACAACATTTTAGCTGCATTCTGAATTCTCCCCTGCACAAACAAATGCACATGTTTAACTCATTTGAATTGGTTTCAGTTTCAAGGAGCAGCCGTCTCACCAGCAGCAATGATTAAACAAGCTCTATGGAAGGTTGCTGGCAAGTGTTAGGAAGTCGGATCAAACTAGTAATCGACCTACACTAGTAGGATTTTCAATTCTGTAGATTTAGTTTCTTCATATGTGTAACGTGTAGTTGTAATGTGAGAACTTGGATCCACTTCCTCCTGACATGTGTTCTGCATCAACTCGTCGGCCTCATCTAATGAGCTTGACTTATGACTTGCCCAAGTGATGGAGAACAAAACCCTTCAATGTAATCTATCTACTATTTGCTCCTGCTGTATCTCACTTCATTTGAATAAAATGCTTTAATTTATGATGCAATTTCCGTATCTTATTGATCCATATAATTGATTGATTGATGGAATTCTGATTTGTGGCTTCATGAGCAACATACATTGTGGATTCTTTAATTTGTATTACTACTGTCTACATGATGAGCTGAAAATTTAAATTGAGAATATTCTATCTCTAATGGGTCTGCCAAAATTTACAAGTTGTCAAGTGCCAACTTCATGCAATCAATTATTAAACAGGCTCAAGAACGAGGAAAAGATTGAATAAAGGCAGGCAATATCACCTCCTAGCCTAACTCAATTTTCGTTGACAGCAAGAAGTCAACGGAAACCCTCTGGGCTGTCGTGGAGAAGCAAGGAAGGATTTCTCTTTACACTGGGTCATTCATAACCATCTCGCTTTGCGTTGCCTTCTGTTCTGTTTTAATGGATATTAAATAATCAAAATCTAAAGCAAGGAAATAAGCAAACCAAACCGCAGCAGGGTGATCTAGCAGTCAACTAGGATTCTTGAGCATATTACTCAAGAAGTCTTGAGTTTGATCCACCTGTGTTATTAATAGGGGTGGTAATTGAGGAAGTTCAAAGAAGTTGTTGAGCTGTGTACAAGTTAACCCAGATAAACGGATACTTCCAGTCAACACAAAAAAATAAAAAAATAAAAAAAAATAAGCATAACAAAAAGAAGGGTCTTATTATATATTTCCAGACAATACAATCATAAGTAGATAAATAGGAGAATTATAATACATAAGTTGGAAGTTGGAAGTTGAACTCCCAACCGTCCAGCCTTTGCCCTATTAACTACCAACAGGTCAGAGCTCCCCAAACCCAATGGAATCCCTTCTCTCATCTGACGCTCAACAACACTGGAACAACAATTTTTAGTCACTAACATGAAACAACAAATGGAAGGTTAAGAAAATATATGATCTTCACTTCAAATTTGGAGTCTGATCCCAGCAAAGTCCTTGACTGTGAATCCGACCTTTTCAAATTTCCCTTTTACATTGTTTTCTCGGAATTTCAGATAATCCAAGCACACAAATGGCTTGTAAAGTTTCATATTTCCTTCTCCTACCACTTCATCTGGTGCCAAAATCACCTTTTCATCTTCAAAGCACCAAAAGAAAGCTAGAGATAAACGGTTAGCTGGTCGCTTTAAAATAACTCGATGTTCTGATGATCTAAATTTTTCGTTGCTCCAAGCTTGCAACATATCTCCAATGTTCACCACCAGGGTTCCTTCAAATGGGCTAATGTCCATCCACTTTCCCTCTTTTGATCTCACTTGAAGCCCACCAATTTCATCTTGGTACACGATAGTTACACAGCTCATGTCTGTGTGCATTCCTAGCCCCTCTACTTCATTCTCCAAACTTTGTGGCGGAGTGTAGTTAATAATCCTCAAATATCCATGACAATTCTTGAATTCTGATTCATAGTATTTCTTCTCGAAACCATCCCCCAAGCACATTAGCAATACCTCTATAATTTTCTTTGATAATTCTGCCATCTTGCTGCCATATTCTTGCAATATCTCACTGTCAGGAGTAAAAAACAGAAAAAGAGACAAGTTAAAAAGTACAAAAAAGAAGAGAAGATAAACTATGAAATGGGAGGTATAAGTTTCAGAAATAATAATAATAAAAATGATACCTAAATTCAAGACTCTGTTTGTCAAAGAGTATATTTGCAGAACTCTGAGCAGATGCAAAGAAGTTTGGTCCAGCAACTCGGAGACTCTCGAAGAAAGGAGAAGCTATGAAATGAGGAGTATAAGTTTTCGTGGAAGATAAAGGACCAAGTTCAAGCTTGGTATCAGAAGGGAGGCCGAAGAGTTGTTTTGAAAGCATACTAAGTCTCGTGTAAACATCCTTGGAAATTCCATGATTGCTGATGAGGAAAAAACCCCATGTTTTGCAGGCTTCAGAAATGGAGGACAGAGATGATGAGTCCAAGGGCTGGGAAATGTCTAAAATTGGAAGATCCACAGCAGTTTGAGATTCAGACATAATGAAGAGAAAAAGGTTTGGTTTGTCAACCTAGTTCTTGGGCAATTAAACAGATGTTTGGTTATAGGCTTATAGCTTATAACCACACAAAAGGCATACACAAATGACATATCATATTCACATGCACTAATTAAAGAGGTTAATTGTTCCATATGTTTTTAAAAAGACTAGTTAAATCAACTAATTCTGTATTATATTCCTGCAAATAGGCAATATTAGCCCTATAATCTTATACTAGTTGCTGCTTTCAATAGATATATTCATTACAGCAACATAGAAAACTGGCAACTAGTTAGTTATAAGTAAAGACCTAAAGAGCTTGAGAATACATCTACTCAACGAAAAAGATGGAATTTGGCTTTATATTTGAAGCTTGTCAACGAAATGATAGTTTGAATAGTTTATTTTGCAGTCAAATGGAGCAATGACAACCTGGTGTATGGTAAGATGGTGTCCTCTCCACATGAATTTATCATATTCTGTTGTGCATTGATTTCAGAGCTTGGATTCTTACGGAGAAAGTTTTGCCCAGCCCATATTCTTGGAGACTAAGCATGTAAACCTCTGAATCTCTTGATTCATATTTTTCATTATATAAGAAACAGACTAGAATCTTCTTCTGTGTAGCATAAACTCATAGATAAATTCCAGAATAAATGCATATAATATATACCCTTTACTATATGGAAATACATCAGATTAGCTCCAATTTACAGTGGTAAAATTTTCAGTGCCTGCACTTCCCACTGGACTCAATTGCTTCAGGATGAACCCTAGCGTATAAAAACTAAGACAATCAAATCTGATGCCCATTTGACTTACGAACACCATTTAGTTTTATAAAACAGAAAATTCTGGAAATCCACAGTCCCCAGTTCACTATTTTGAAATCATAGTTGGCAAACAGTGTGCGTTATCAAATACCTTGGATTAAAGAAACTTGATTATTTTCTCAAATGTACCATTAATTTAAAACCCACTTACCTCGTAATGAGCGAAAAAGCTCATAATTGGCCATCAAATGGCAGACATAAGCTGATAAGCACGACCACCACCTTGTTTTATAGTCGTAAAACAATCTATCAAAATCATTACAGGCTCCGTTTCTACTTAAGTTATTGAATTTAGAGTCATGAAATTTTTTTCCATCCAAATGATGGTTTAATGATATTTTTCTATCTATAAATTTTTAAAATATCACTTTACTACCTAAATTGATATTTCGTTTTCATTCTGACATCGTTCTGACCCCACACCGTCACCATTCTCTTTCCCGATCATCACTTACCAAAACCCCTCAAACTCTACTCTTATTGACCCCGCTAATCTCCGATAATCAAACGATTAGGGTTTGTGCAGCTATCCCTCCCAAGTCAAATTCCGATCAATGTCAACCACCAAAATTTAATCTTCCACCATCAAAAGACTTATCGGTCTCTCCTCTTCAAAAGTCTTAATAGCTTAGACCGAGTTTGTTTTTTATTCGTCACCGGAATGTAAATTTAAATAATAAAATGATATTTTAAAATTAGGTGGAAAAGTGTCATTAAACTATTATTTGAGTGGACAAAAGTGGTTAACTCTTGATTTTAACCTAACTTTCAAGCAGTCATAGACTTCCAATACTCAGTTTCACTTAGTTTGAATTTGTAACGAAACCACAATATGATTAATTCCACTTCATAAGCAATAATTAAAGTTTTTACTCACGGATCCTTGTTATATTCAGTCACCGGCCCACATAAGCAAAAGCTCTGAATATATGCGTTTTGATCCCCACAAAACCATTAAAGGCGACGCAGCCACAAGGAACAAACAAGAATTACAATAAACAATATATATATTATACTACTAGCGAGTAGCGAAAACATGCTCAGTTGAATATATATATATATATAGCAAGAGTTCAAATAACCAAACTTGTTCTTAGATAAAAATCTACATTGATTCAATGATTTTCCATGTTCCGGCTGAGTCGCGATTCTCATTTCCTCTATTATTGTGTCATTTTATATTATAATTTTTGTGTTTCAACTTTCAAGTGATATGATGCTAATTAATTTTTGAGCTTCAATTTACAAATTAGTTATTATTTATATAAAACATATGATTTGGAATCTAGAAATTGGGATATATAATTTGGATATATTACTCCTATTATTTTTTTATTTCTGCAGACAACAATGATACACACTAGAGAAGCACAAACAAACCACTAGCAGACGGGACTGTTTCTCGTAAATGCAAGCACTGTAAAACGACTTCATATTACCCTTGACAGATTTTTCCTTCTCTTCGTCACAATCACACGCCTCTCCTTGGACCTCGTTTGAATTACTGCGTGCATTTTCTCACTCTCTCTTTCTCCCTCATGAGCAGAAGAGCTCTCTCTCTTTTTCACAGCTGAGCAAGTAAGTATCAGTTAAACATGTGCTGTATTCTCCGCAATGCTTACAAAGTGTTCGATAGAATTACCCAACGACACAGTTTTACAAGAAACGACATACGTATTTTATGTTACGTTACTTTGCCCCAGAAATATTCATACACGAATCCAATCGATCTTTACGCTAAAGTGGAGGACAGTGTAATATCATGTACATCGAAAATTTCGAATTTGGTAAGAAAAAACAAGCCGGAGGAAGCTGTTGGTTTGTTCAAAACGAATTTTATGAGTGATCAAAGGCCGAATTAAGTAACGGTATTGAATGTAGCCGGTGCCTTTGGTGCATTGAATTGTTTAGAATTGATAAAAATGGTTCATGGGCTGGTCATCAAAATGGGGTTTAAATCAGAAGTGGTGGTTTTAACGGCTATTCTTGGTTTTTATTGTGATCATGACATGGCAGTTGCCTGGAAATTATTTGAAAAAATATCGAATAAAGATGTTGTTTTGTGTAGTGCAATGGTTGCAGCGTGCGTGAAAAATGCCCTGTACATTGAAGCCGTTGAATTGTTTAGGGAAATGCAGTGTTACGGTGTCAAACGAAATCATGTTACTGTTATGAGCATTTTGCCTGCTTGTGTTTATATTTCTGATGGTCTATCTCTTGGCAAGCAGATTCATGCATTTTCAATAAGGCAAGGGTTTATTTCGTTTACCAACGTTCAAAACTCTCTTGTGGATATGTATGCAAAGTGTAAGGATCTTGGGGCCTCCATTCAGGTTTTCGATGGTAACTGGAAGAAGAATTTAATCTCATGGAGGATTATGATCCGCAGTTGTATTGAGAATGATTGCACCAGAAAAGCGTTGGGTTTCTTTTCATTGATGCAATTTCGTTGTTTTGAACCAGATGAAACTATGATTGGGCACATACTTGTGGCATTATTACAATTGGAAGAGACAACATTTGGGTTGTCATTTCACTGCTACATATTAAAAAAGGGATTTCTCAATTTTTCTTTCCTTGGGACTACGCTTCTCCATATGTATGCTAAGTTTGGTGAGTTGGGTATGGCTAGGAATTTGTTTGATCAGTTGATTCACAAAGATCTCATTGCCTGGAGTGCAATGATCTCTGTATATGCCCAAGGAGGGCAGCCTTATAATGCTTTAACTACATTTAAACAGATGCAATTGAAGAATGAAAAACCTAATGAGTTCACTTTTGTTAGTCTGCTGCTGGCATGTTCTTCAGTGGGAGCTCAAGAGCTCGGGGAGAGTATACATACCCAATTAATTAAAGCAGGCTACACATCAAACTCATACTTGACATCAGCCTTGATTAATTTTTACTGCAAATTTGGTAGGATGAAGCAAGGAAAGGCTCTTTTCGATGACATTTCTAGTAAAGATCTAATCTGCTGGAGTTCAATGATTAAAGGGTATGGAATGAATGGGTATGGAGATGAGGCTCTTGAAACTTTCTCAAACATGTTGGATTCAGGGGTAATGCCCAACGACGTTGTTTTTATTTCTGTTTTATCTGCTTGTAGTCACTGTGGACTAGAATATGAAGGTTGGAGCTGGTTTCACTCTATGAAGGAGAAATATGACATTACCCCGAAACTTTCGCACTATGCTTGCATGGTGGATTTGCTCAGTCATCAAGGGAAAGTCGAAGAAGCCCTTGAATTTGTCAAAAAAATGCCTGTGAAACCTGATAAAAGAATCTGGGGAACACTTATTTCTGGTTGCAGATTAGCACGCGGATCAATTGAGATAGCAGAGTACGTGGTTGAATGACCCATGACCTTGGACCCAAATAATTCTAGGTATCGTAAAATTTTGTTAGACTTGTATGCAGAGGAAGATAAGATGTTATGATGTGTAGAAACTGAAAAATTCTTTCTATTGGGTATTTGCAGCAGGTAAGTTTGTTTAATTGATTCCTTAATTTGTATGCTCTTCTTGTCATGATGTGTTGAAAATATAATTTTAATATTAATAATAGCTGCAAAAATAAGAGTGCCTTAGTTTGATTCTTTCAGTTCGTTTCTCATTTTGTGTTTCTTATAACTAAGCCATCGAAATAATAATTCTGGAACAGAAGTCAAGATCTTGGATTACTTATTGATTAATATTATCCTGAGATATGTTTGAGAGAAGAGAAACAGTGTTCTTGACTTCTCAGCTCCACATTAGATTCCGGAGAAATTTGAAACATCTAGTTTTACATTACTATTCCCTTCCTAGAAGAGGAACTAAGAAAATGTAGATACTCTCCTTAAATTCTCAATTCTATAACTTATATCAAACAGAAGATAATACAAACACTTAAATATTGAAAGGTGTAACTAGGCAAACGTAAACCATTTTAATTGTCTTACATCTGATTAATGGAAAAGTGTAAATTAAAATTAATTGTCTAAGCAGTTATAGTTTGACTTTGACATGCATTAATTTTGGAAATGGATTAGAGATACCTTAAATTGCCCTTACAATAGGTTTACTGTTGAATAAAGTGAGTTTGCAAAACTGCAACTATTATGTATTCCATATTTCATGCACACGGAGACACACACATGAAACGAGGAATCCTTGAAGTACTTCTTGTTAATGCTGAAGGCATTAGACATACAAACTTTTTTGGTACTCTTTCCCCTTAGTTATAAGAAAGTCATGTTTGCATACTCTTATGTTTTCTCCTTGAAGTAGGATCGTCACTTTTTTTTTCACTACATCTTTTTAACTATTAGAGGTTGCTAGCTGTTTTAATTTTATCATTTTTTTTCCATAGGAACACCAGCCTATTACGTCATTGTACAAATTGGAACTCAAGTACATAGAAGCAAAGTATCATCAGGTTTAGATATGCTTTTGTTGAGTTTTATTATTCTGATGCCTTGAAATTTGAATGCCAGTATGTTCTGGTATCCTAGTAACTGAGTTTTGTGATGCAGCTAAAGATGGAAAGGCCTGGTGGAATGAGAAATTCATATTCGAATTCCCTCAATCTGATTGGAGAAACTTCACCCATATCAAATTCAGAATCATGGACGTGGAATTATTCACAGATGGTGGATTTGTTGGTGAAACCATGTAAACCCTTCCTTCATTGATGTCCATGCTAGAAGTTCCTCCTAGTTAATATTTGTATCATGTTCCCCTTTGTTTCCAAATAATCGTGAGGCACGAGCCAGATAAAAAAAATAATTTAGCAGAACTCAGATCATCTTGTGATAGATGACCAGGAAGTTTCTCTCTCTCTTAAGCTTAGGGTTTAAATATCTAGTAAATAACACGCTTTCCCTAGGATATTATATTTGGGTCTGGCAGAAGGCTGTGAGATTACCACAAGATGATAGATAATGGCTCTAGAAACTAGGGGAATGCTACCTCTGATTTGTTGGGTTATGTTTCCTTCTAAATATTAAGCATAGCAATTAAAAAAACCAAAAAAAGAAAGAACCTTTTCATGTTTCTGTTTATAATTTCCCAGATTCTGTTTCAATTTAGATGAGTTATCCAACTTTTGATGCAGATATTACCTTGGTGGAATAATTAGCGAAAGCAATGACAGAGGATCAACTGAAGTGAACCCAGCTCCATACAATGTAGTACTTGAAGATGACACCTACAAAGGACAGATTAAGGTCGGATTTAAATTCATCATGAAAGTAAGTATGCTAGGATGTGAAATTTGTCAATCTTTCTGTCATTACTCCTGCAGGCTAAGAATAATAAAACCATTGTGCTTTTAACTTTTCAGGAAGACAAGCCTATACAGACGAGAGAATTTATTGCACATGAGAATTTACCAAGACAATCAATTTGTAGGTTCCTAGTTAATCTTAGGAAAATGTCATGTTTTAGGTTCGTGTTCTACCGGAATCTAATGAATTCGAAAAATGCCTGAAGGAAACATAAGAGAAGCATGTTTCAGACTTCGGATTTTACATTTGTGACAATAAGCTGAATATGTAATGTAATCAATAAGATCTTATTGCTTTCAAAGGCTTTATTTATTTTTCTTTGTTATTCTCTGTCAACCATCATCAAGATTCTGAACTAGCAAATAAATGTAATGTAAAATTGTTGACCTTCTACATGGCAAAATATGTCCTTCATGAAATTTGTACCTAACAGTTTTGTGATTATTTTGATCTTACTGAATTAATGATCAATAGTTTCTGCAACCCGAGTCAGAGATTTGTTTATAGAGACATGTTTGACCTGAATTATTTTCATTTCTAAATAACAATGTCAACGAACGTTTCTCTGTCATGTCCACAGGCCAAATGAAGAACTGGGAAGCACGTCTAATTCACGACGTACACAAGATAATTTTTGTTTTTTTAATTTTTTAACCCACGTGCCTTCTAATCTAACTTCCGACCAAAGCTTAACTACTGCACTTCATTAAATCTCCAAGACATGCAACCAAGAAACCCATGTTCAGGTTTCTCTTCCATTCCTAATTTTAATCTCATTTATGTGTAGTTGAAATTCTTAATATTCTAAATGACAAATTGCTGTTGAAATAAGAACATGAAAGATGCCCTCATGTGAGCTACCAACTTGAGAAGATTAAGTGGATGATAAGATGATATGCAAAACTTAAAATTGGGTACTTAAATATTGACACTCTGTCAGCATCTTCAATGGAGTTCCAAATGTCCGTGACTTTCCTGTAAGACCATGAACTGAAAATTTGTGGGGAAGTAAAATTTGTTCATTTTTTTTTCTTCAATTGTTGACCCATAATAAGAGATAAGTCTATTTCTTTATGAAAAAGGGCATCATTTGGCACATTCAGGGGGCCTACTGGTTATTAGACAGTCACTTTTGACTTTTATCATCTTTCTGCAAATTGTGAGAACATGATTGATTGGTACAGTTGTTGAATTATTTTCTTCAATAAAGTATTTATCACGTATTCTGAAGAATCGGGAGCATATATATTATGACCCCTGACATCCATTAATTGTTCTTGTCCAAGTCCAACTAAGTTTGTACTCTGCATGTTCTCTTTCAACCAAATAAAACTAATAGCTACTTTTCAAGAACCACCTTCATCCATTGTTGATTTTGCAACTGGGTATTTTTGGTTTGATCAGAGCACAAAGGCTGCAGAATCGTGTGGTTAATATTTCCCGGTTTCATGATCACGATCATGGTGATATGGCTTTGCTTAAAGGAAGCTTATCTTTTGTAAAGAAAGGGTTACAAGAGAATAAAGATACTTAAAGAGGGAACTGTTTCAAACGGTCTTCGGCTTCTTGCATTAGCTTCAACATTCAAATTCAAATCTGTTCTTAAAGGTAAAAAGAATGTTATACCGTTGCTTTTTTAATTAACCGTTGGCTTTATGCTTTCAAATATTAGTAGTTTGTTCACCTTCACCTTCAAATTATTGTAGCAAAGATTGCTTTATACATTGTACTCAGCTGAATATTCAGTGAATAATTGATATTTCTGATCCCAAAAATGACCTGTGAATGACCTCTTTTACTTTTTGTTGCAAGAAAGATTACTCTTCGAGTCTCTCTTCTTCTTTTTTATATACTCTAATATTCTGCCATATAAGGAAAATTCCCTCCTGTTTAGTTTGTTTGATAATGATGAAAAACTCGAGAAATTTGTTGCAGACAAGCCAAATTTTCTGACGCTTTGATGATTGTCTGCAGAATTGAGGAATTAGGCCACAAAAAGTCATATACCGCAATGGAAAATTCTTCCCATTTATATGAAAACTATGATCCGGGTTACCAGCCTTCACCTTCTTCTATAGATCAAAATGATCATTCAACAACAGAAACTCCAGTTTACTCAACGATGAGTGGTGATTCTTTCGCATACTGCCGGACTTATTCAGAGATCTCAACCCTATCAGACCCCATTGACGACAATAGTTGTTGTAGTGAGCCTTTTCCTTCTAACTGGCCACCTGCAAAATCTGGACATACTGTTCTAAGCCGATCAGGAATGAAACAGCAAAAGACTCCCATGGATGGTAAGCTTGATGATCAAGAAGCAGGAGAATTAGGTGAGTCGTGTTGCAGAAATTTTATTTACTTTCATGACTTAAAAGCAGTAAAATTTACTTAGGCCATTGTGGTGGTAACATTGTTTGCAGAGCTAGAGATGATGAAGGAAAAATTTTCAAAACTTTTGCTTGGTGAAGATATGTCTGGAAGCGGTAAAGGTGTCTGCACAGCGGTTACAATCTCAAATGCCATAACTAATCTCTATGGTAATATACTCTAAAGTTGAGAGATGTGTTTAAAATCTTATTATTTCTTTGTTTTCAATGTCCTTAATCAATTATGTTAAATTTTTCAGCCACCGTGTTTGGGCAAAATTTGAGGTTAGAGCCCCTAAAACCTGGAAAGAAAGCAATGTGGAAGAGAGAAATGGATTGTCTTCTTTCTGTGTGTGATTACATAGTAGAGTTCATCCCTGAATCCCAGAATTTACGAGATGGAACGCAAGTTGAGGTAAAGTTCCAAAATCCAAGACCAATTTAAGCAGTGTTTACCGTCTTCACATGTTTTCAGTTAACGTGATACTGTGATCTTTCAGATTATGGCAAGCAGACCAAGAGCAGATATTTACATCAACCTTCCTGCACTGCAACAGCTAGATAAAATGCTCCTAGTAAGATAACTACCACATTCTTATTCTTGAATCCTTAGAATCTATAATTTCAGCTAATAAGTATGTGGATTTTCTTTGACAGGAACTATTGGATAGTTTCCAAGGCATGGAATTTTGGTATGCAGAACAGGGCAGCATGTCCTCTAATTCAACTCGTTCAGGCTCATTTCGTAGAGTTGTTGTTCAGCGTAAAGAGGAGAAATGGTGGCTACCAGTTCCATGCGTTCCTCAAGGTGGTCTCTCTGAGAAGACAAGGAAACACTTACGCCACAAGCGTGATTCCGCTAATCAAATCCACAAAGCAGCCATGGCCATCAATAGTAGTATTCTTGCTGAAATGGACATCCCAGACTCATACATGGAAACTCTTCCGAAGGTTAGTCCTTACTGCTCACTTGTTTTTGGTGGCAACTCTCATTTAAGCACACTCAAACTTCATATTTCTTTCAATAAGTAGAACCATGATAAACTTAGACATGTATTCGATGCTTAATAGAACAGTTATGCATTCTAGGTTCATATTAATAATTAGATATCTTGTTTTCAGAGTGGAAAAGCATGTCTTGGAGATTCAGTTTACCGTTATATGTATACAACAGACAAATTCTCCCCCGACCATCTCCTTGATTGTCTCAATCTATCATCTGAGCATGAAGCACTTGAGCTAGCAGATCGAGTTGAAGCATCCATGTATACATGGAGGCGAAAAGCCTGTATGAGCCATTCAAAATCTTCATGGGACATGGTCAAGGATCTAATGACTGATACTGACCGCAGTGACAAAAATCACATTTTGGCCGAAAGAGCAGATAGTTTGTTATTTTGCTTGAAGCAGAGGTACCCTGAACTTGCACAAACATCCTTGGACACATGCAAGATTCAATATAATCGGGTAAGTCTCTAGCCAATTTTTCATCTCTATGCAACAAAAACGAACCTAATTCATTATTCATGCACCTTTAGATTCATATATCCCAGAAATAACTCAATTGAAAAGCAATTTTTGCAGGATGTGGGGCAAGCAATCCTGGAGAGTTATTCAAGAGTGCTGGAAGGCTTAGCATTCAACATTGTCGCTTGGATTGAAGATGTTCTTTTTGTAGACAGATCAGTGAGATCTCAAGATCACTAACGACCTGCAAATGAACTAATTATCAAAGGAGGGATATCTCAGTCCCGGCTTGTCCATTGAACAAGTTTTGGTAGCTTAATAATTCCAAGGTCAGGTGAATGAACTAGAAAATGGCTATTTTTTATTTGTAAAGAGACGAAGTTAGCTGTCATATAGGGACTGTTTCTAAGACTTGTAGCATTGTCGAAACTGGCAGTTCTAACACATGCATAACTTTTTTCTGGGTTGATTGTGAATTTGTGCTGAAATCCCTAAACTTCATTTCATCTTTTCATTCCAGAAGAGAATGCAGTAAGGTGCTAATTGTAATAGATCACTGGCTTATTTATATTTACAAAATTCCACTTCAATCCAACCAAAGGGATTTTATTTCCTCAAGCTTCATTACATAGCTAAGAAAAAGGCAAATAAAAAAGAAATGCGAAATTTTACCTAAAATAATAAATACCCATGTAAGGCATCACAATTCACAAATCAAAGAGCTTTAAGCATGAACAGTAACCTAAGGTTCTTAATTATGGACATTTCCTATTTATTTATATTTGTAATGGAATATTATACCCCAACCCTACCACCTGAAATTGAGTTGCCACTAATTTCTTCAAACCTCAGTGAGAGAACCGGTCGTGAGGCTTAAACGACCCAATGGTTTCTTTGGATGAGAAGAAGACTGAAATGCCTCAAGCTTTGACTTACAATTAGCCTGACTTTCCCCTTTGTTTTCCTCTAAACATTTCTTCAGAGCCTCAGCTTCAGCTTGAGCCATTGTCTTCTCTGTGTTATTACTACCAACACTCTCACTCTTTTCACTATCCATATAAACGAAGGATCACCACACAAGCGCTTTTCAACTGTACCATCATTCACAATTTCAAACCAACTTTAATGAATTAAAATAAAAGTAAATAATAACTAGAAATTGACAACACCATAATAAAGTTAGGAGTCTTTCTAATTATTGTATGAGATTGACTAAAGGGAAATATCCAAAGGAAAACTTATATATGCATGGGTAATTAAGAATTGGCATCAAATACTAGATAGATAATCTTTTCATGATAAAATTCAGTGAATCTTGAAAAGAACAAAAACAGAGTTTCCAAGAACTTACCGGGGAGAGACAGAGATAGAGAGGAGGTGTTGCAGATATTAAAAAAAAAAAAAAAAAAAAAAAAAGCCTGATTCGTTAACTGCCAATAAAGGCCGTAGCGACGTTTAAGGTGGGGTCAATATCTAAACAACTTGATTTATAACTATGTCATCACATTTTTGTTTTTTATATTTCAACAGTCGTCGTGGGCGTGGGGTACCACTACCACTACCAGAAAAACTAAACTTTAATAACTAAACACTCTCTTTCCAGCAAGAGTAAACGACATGTTCCCACCGAATGTATAGCGAAACCCAGGTTAGTACCCTTAGCTCATAAATTTCAGATTTCCACCATTAAATTAACGAATAATGTTATAGTTATCGAAAGGTATGAACTGAATAACGTGATAAAATTCTGACCGTTAATTCATTATAAATTAATATTAATCAACGGTCAAGATTTTGTCACGTTATTCGGTACACAAATTCGGTGTGTAACTTTTGATAACTCTATCATTTTTCTAATTAACAATGTTTTATTTCTTTTAACAATTAAAGGTTAAAATGGTCTTTTACTATATTTTAAATTTCTAAAAAAAAAATGTCTCCCAACTTTGTGTCTCTAGCTGACGCCAGCCCTGGCCCCAATCCTTGGCGCCATCTCCGGTGTCAAATTGCAACTCCCTTGCTCCAATTCACCTCCTCGCCATCCTCCTCGTCATTCCAAGTCTGTTCATGTCGCAACTAACCCTCTTCCTCGCTCTGTATTTAACAAACAACTTAATAGGCGTTTGGGAGAAGACTGATTGGGTTTTTGTTTGGGGCAATTTAACAAATAGCTGGTGGGCAAATGGAGTGAGGGGAGAAAAGACTTATGGTGGTGGCTGGAAAAACCAATTACAACTCAAAATCACAGCCAATCAAACAAACAATCAACACACTTCCAAAATCAATCAACACCAACACCAATTAACAACAAATCAACCTCCAATTTTACCCAAAAATCAACAAAATTGCGAAACCCTAAGTGGGGTGGTGGCTGGTGAATGGTCAGCTACCATGGTTGGAGATGATAGGGATTTTGATGGGGGTTGGCCGGTGAACACAATGGTGGTCTCAGGGAAGGTTTTTTATGACGGAATCAACCGAAAAAGGGGAATGTTCGTGCGACACAAATGGGAGGGTGGCGGCTGACGATGGTGGGTTCAAAAGGTTGAGAAGGTTGGGAGTTTTGTTTGGGAGATCAAGGGATTGAAGATGGTAGGGTCGAGTGGTACAAACGATGCCGGAATTCAGGCCGGTTTGGCCTAAGATCGGAAGTCGCGCTATGAGGAAGTGGATGTTGGAAAACGGAGGAAGCTAGTCAAATTTTCGGTTAAACGGGGCAAGGGAAGGTGCAAGAAAAGTTGGGGAAGAGTTCCTATCATGATTGGTGAAGAAAACCGGTTAGGAGGCAGCCAAAAGGCCGACGACAGTAAAGATGGGGAGGGGAGATAAAGAAGAAGGTTTGAGGGCTATTTGGTAAAAGCCCCTCTACTTAAATGTCACAACCTAACGACGTTCATTTAAGGATGGAAATCTAAAATTTATTAAACTAAGGGTACTAACCTTGGATTTTGCTATACCTTGAGTGGTAACAAGTCGTTTACTCTTCTAGCAATGTTATACACTTATACTTACAATTGAGTCATACAAACAGAGAAAAAACAAAAGATAGAATAGTCATTTTACATAAATTTTATATAATTTTTGTCTATTTATATGACTCAATTGTAAGCAAAATATTATTGGCTCCATTTATTTAGTTTTTATAATAGCATTTTATTCTGAATAGGATTTTTGGAAAATATGATAAGATTATGAGAATGTTTTTGGTACATTTTTTGAAAATATTTAAATTTTTTTAACCCTCTAAGTTTATTAATTTAACTAAACACCCTCATAATAAAAGTTTATAACTTAACAAAAATACCTCCACCCACCCAACTATTGTCAGTAGTTGGCCACCACTGCTGGACGGTGGCCAAACGTCGCTAGGATAGCGCATGACCGACTGGATTTGGCTAGCCATGCGTCGATCTGACCTTCTTCAGCCAAATCTACAGCCATAAATATGGTCGTTGACGGCGAAACGATAATTAGATCTTTGGCCGTAGATCTAGCTGTTTTCGATCAGATGCGTGGTAGATTTGGCTGGAAACAAACAGACATGATCGGTCAAATCCAATCGGTTGTGCATTGTTATGGCACCGACGATTGATGGTGGCAATGGCGGCGATGGCTGTTGGTGGGTGATAGTGGCCTAGGTGGGTGAGAGTGTTTTTATTAATTTTAAAACATTTATTGAGAAATGTAATTGTTCATATTTTGAGTTGAATAAAATAAGATTGAATTTTGAAGAATATTAAAACAAATGCATTTTTGGTTTTCTAGAATAAGATAGTGAAAAAATAGTGTCACATGTAGCGTGTTCTCTTTTACAATCGCACAATACAATTCAAATCTACTTTCGTACAATACAGTTCAATTCTTCTTAATTTTTTTTATTTTAAAAATAAAAATTAAAAATTAAATGAAAACTCTGAAGTCATTCCTTTGGAGACAAAACAGTTCATCTTACAAATATCAATCATGATTCCATATAAATTGGATGTGTTTGGTAATGTACTTTTCCAAATTCCATTCCAACTTTTGTTTGTAGAGATATGAACCGACAAGTGGTAGAAGGCGTGACGTGAATTAGGCTACATTTATCAGTGAGGCATGCATAAAGCATGTCCTGTGATGGGTCAATACAGGAAGCAGGTGGTCCTATGTTGAAAATCCAACCGACCATATTGAGACTAAGCTCCATGCTAAAGCATCAAGAAACATAAACCACCTTTTTCATGCCATCCAAAGTGAATTTGTTCGGCAACTAGATGTGGAAGAACTAGAATTTAAACCTGATATTGAAGTATTATAGCGGTGATAGTTGGAAACCACTTGCTTTCGTCATTGCTTCAACAGATATATCCACACACAAAAATAAAAAACAGATTAGTTCCTAGAAAAATAAATCAAACAACTTCACAAAAGCATGGATCCGATGAACAAGTAGCAATGGCCAATATTAGATAAAAATAATACTAATTTGAGCACACGCATGCCTAGAGAAATCGGCGTGTGTGAGTACATTTTATTATGAGCAAGGGAAAGGAGGGATATGCCCATATGAATTACAAGATTGATGCGCATGAAACAGCTACATATCATTCATTCTTGAGATATTTTACTCAGAGACCAATCAGTAAAGTGAAACAATTTATCTCTATATATACAACGAAGTTTCCGAACCACACCTGCTAGTGCATGGTCCAGATTGGGGTGATCAAAGGGTTAGTCAGTCAAGCAGGCCCAATACCAGGGCAGATGGCCGTGTGAGCACATCTTTACATTTTTTCACAGGGACCCAACGTCGACCACCCCTTCTCTCTCCAAAAATGACGCCCCTTTCAACAGCTCCCATCAACACCAAAAGCGAGAAGGCGCAATGAGAACATAGATTTACCTGTTGAGCGGTTTGCTTACTCCAGACCAAATCAAAAATGAAGTTAACCTAAAATCAGCTATCATCATCCACAGCACCAATGTATGTGAGGTCTGAGCGCCTCACCCTTATGGCCCCTTTAAGCCAGCTGGCAGCTCGAAGATTAGCATGATCACCACTGCCTATTACAGAAGTGTTACTAGAAGACGGAACTGATCCTGCACCATCTTCAAGGAGTATCCACGGATCAACTTCCATATCATTATCCTGCTGCAATGGCAATGTCTTGGACTTCACTGAGTTAGCAGCAGTTCTTGCCAAGGGCACTGGATTTCTCTGAGGTGTGTTTGAATTTCCAGGGTATACCCCGGAAATTGAGATGCTCGGTTGAAGCGAAGCAAGAGCAGAAACCGGGGCAGATGGAGGCTGGCAAGTGATGGAGCACCGCACAGAAGGTAGTAATATCGGCATGGCAGCTTGGATACGCCATCTAATTGTGTCAGGTAGTCGCATGCGATCTAAGTCATTCTGCACCAGTAGACAGCTTATCAGGATGTAAATATCATGGTTACTTATTGACTTTAACTTCAAAATCATATTTTCTGATAGAAGATTGCAGATAAAGGTGCAAAATCATAAAAGACCTAACTAAAGTTTATCCTTCAAGCAAAATGTGTAGAATACTTGCTCCTAGGCAAATATCATAATATACCACCAAAAGATGGTTAAGTCTCAAAGTATGAAGAATAATGTCTGTATACTCAAGTATTTAGACAATGAACAAACCTGCAAACTCTCCACCATCTCACGATCAAATCCAAAAGAATCCTTGGACAAGTTGCTTGACTTGGATGCAGGCTTTGACCTCAACCAGCTTGGTTGGCAACTACTCAACAACCCATGCAGGACTAATAATAACCGATCAAACAGACTTTCCCCAGACAAGTCCATCAAAGGTACAGAAGAATTTTCAGGTGGTGACTCCATCTCCCTCTTAGACTGAAAGCTCTGCATGGGATAAAAGGAGAGATCTGCATCCTCATGCACAACCCGACTTCCAAGGAGGCGAAGAATTACAGTGGCAAGCATGTGCCTCATGTTCCGTCCAGATGGCTCCCTGACAAATTCAACAAGCAGAAGGCTTAGCCAAAATTCTATCTGCTGTTACAACTCAAAGATGATGGTTGTAAATTTCAAGCACAACCAGCACCAACGGTCAAAAATCCATCTGATAAACAATCCTTTGTCATAACATATTCCACATACAAATTAAAAGGTAAATAAACCTACATTCAGTATTATTAAAATCATAGAATATATCATGTTCAAGTACTGTATCATTACCCATCTGCATATATGATAGGCAGCAATCTCAGAAGAAACTGCAACCGCAATGACATAGAAGCTCGCAAAGCACCAGGGGAGGGTGGAGCAGAATCTGCTGTACCTGCTGCTCGTCTAACCAATCCAGGACTTCCACCTCTTATACTTTTGCGATTATTGCTTTTATTTGTAAGACCTTCAATTCCGGAAGGAGTTGATCCAGCCAGCTTACTTGCTCCACGAGTTACTGCATTTATTTGTTGCTCAATGGTATTCAACTGCTTGATCAAATCACTTGCAAAGGTATGGCGTGAGTCATCAGAGCTTTGATCTATGCAAGGAAGAACTAGTTCAATGAATGCCCTCTCAGTCACATGCTGCTGGCTGGTAATGATACCCTCAGAATCAAGCATATGTGTTGACCCTTTGCCATATCGTTTTGAGTCCACGCCTTCATCAACAACCTCTCCTTCTTCAAGTGAGGCAACTTCCAACTTCTTATCTCCCCTGTTTAACGAAGGACCACAACCAGAATTAGACCAACCCCAAGGCTTCCAAAACTGAGCTTTAGTTGAAAGGCCTTTACTCTCGGCAATATTTATGAGACGCTGTCTAATGGTTTTCCGCCCAAAAAGAACATCATGCCCCCCAAGGAACCATTTAGCCTGCAACAACATTGAATCCTCCAGTGACCTCCCAAAGAGATGGACTAATTCTGAGAACAGGGGAGCAGCATCTGGTCTAACTAATAACCTTGTAAGGATTATCTCAATAAAATTGTTCTCATTTTCAGAAGCAGCAGCTTTTTCAGGACTAGGCGACAATGAGCGGATGGCATCAGCTAAGGGCATATCATGGTTCTCCACTTTCTCAATGAGAGCTTGTTCATTCAAAAGAAGCCTGAGCTCAACCCACTGCCAATGGAATTTTGCAGGTTGCAGAGCATCCAATACATTTACAAGCTTATCCAAAAGTTTTGTTTCATTTTCTACATGTTGCCCTTTGGAATCACCATGCCCAGAACCCCGATTCACGTCATCCTGTTTATATACAAAATGTGGCATTTTACAATCAATGATAGAATTCAGAAAAAGCCTTGCACGCAGAGGAACAAATGCCTTGGCTTTCGAGAGCATGTCCAAACCATTCAACTCTAGCATGGCTACAAACTCAGCATCAGTGGAATCTGCAGCTACAAGATCATAGAAACTCTGACTGTCTCTCAGAAAAACATCCCTGAAAGGCAAGTGCCTTATGGCATCACTAATCGCCAGTGTTAAAGATTGATACAACTGATGAATGTCTTCACGGTTTGCAAGGTTACCATGTACAATTAATGCCTTCCACCTAACAAAGGCAAATATTAAAAAGGCAGGTGGAAAGACCAAGCTAAGAGGAAGAATTCTCTGCATCCTTGAAAGAGCTACTATAGATGGTTCACCCAAAAGGTCCACAACTAGTCCATCACATACAGTTCTGCAGTTCCCCACAAGCAGCCTAAACCAATGCACATAAACTTCAATTGAGTTGTCCACTTTAAAAGTCCCAATTGAACGGGCATTACCATTAGAGGTGGACTTTGTACTCCTTACAAACTGAATTACGTCCAACCCTTCCTTCAGTCGAAAGACAGTAACCATTCTTTCCAGGCTAGTAACTCCATGAAGAACAGCACCAATGATCAGTGAAGAAATAGCAGCTACAGTTTTTGTTGCTTTCCCTAGCACTACTTTTGAAGAATTATTTAAAATATCATTGGGCATACTTGGACTGGAATCATGGGCTTCAGGAGACAATTGAAACTGACCACGAGAAGCCTTTCCAGGAGAGAAAACTCCAGCAAGAGCACAAGAAGCTTCCGTTGCAAGAGCTATCTCAAATACCCGGCTTTGACGCTCTCCAAGAGCTTCCTTAAGTAAGCATAAGCAAGTAATGTGTATTCGCAAAAGGCGCCTAGCAAAGTTTAAGGAACCTGTAGTAGATGGATAATTTTGATAATTGCTTCCAGCCGGAAAATCATGTATTTTTGCCATAATCGGTCCTACATTACCAACAATGACAGAAACTGCAGATGACACCAAAGATGGATCTCCTTCCTGAGCAGCACCACCGGTCTGCCTAATGCACTCCATCAATCCAATTATTATTTGTTGGGCGACCTGAAATTCCTCATCTGATTTTTCTATGGCAGGTCCTTTCGGTGAACCAGCTGCCAAGTGTTTTCTCTCTTTTTCTAAGAAATAGTGAAAGGCATCATCCATATGCCGTTGCACAACATCTTTCATACTCAAACCCACTCTTGATACTCGGCCACCGCTTATTTTTTGACGGAAATAATCATCAAGATCTTCAACTCCTGGTGGGACACCAAGCGGAAATCCAAACTCTCCATCCAGAGATCGTCCGGATTCAAGCTCAGAAAGGAGTCTCTTATCACATGTTGACTTAAAATTTTTCTCCCATTCAATGACACTGGCCACATTGTTGTATTTCTTTAGCAGATACCTTGCATACCCATAGGCCGCTGAACCAGAAACTCTTCCATTAGAGGTCATAACTGCTGCAGCACGATGCATTGTTGCTGACAAGGCTTCAGGAATAAGATCTGTTGCAATAAGTATGTTCTCATACCTGGAACAAATACATCATTACACATATAAGACACAAACAAAAATTGATATTCATTGAATCTCTGTGCCAAACATATAGACATCAAAGCCAATTCATGACACAACAGATAAAAAAGGAAACTAGATAAATAATTCAGAAAAGACAACTTTTAAAGGCAAAATATATTTGCTTATTACAGACACGAGCAGAATTTATCAAAACTCTTGAAAAATATTCCTACAGATGAAAGAAAGTACTATAAATTCAAAAAACTATACAAGCATCCAAAACAAATGCTGTAAAATTGTAATGGTTATTACAGATGAAAGAGCTCTAACAAGTCAGCCACTAAAATCAAACCAACAAGGAAGAAAATTAAACAGATAGCGAGGCAACGAAAACCAAGCATTTGCACACAAAAGCAAACAAAGCATAAATCAAATTCCAAAGATAGACATGTCAAAAAGGAACTGTTGAATTAATAAATACAATTGAGACTGCACCTGCGAATTGATGATAACAGAAATGCCTCCCCCACTTCACAGACATGGTTTTCAGCATTCCGTGAAAGCATCAGAATATTCCTTCCACTGTGTATTGTTGAACTGGGACTACTAAGAACCTTTGGCAGCAACCAAAGAAGAAATTTGGCAGCAGAAACTAAGTCATTACAAGCATCCATAAAATACAGCAGAGCAGACAGCTCATCCTCACCAAGCCTCCACCGTATAGAGCTTCTATCATCAACAGGAACGTAAGACCTACTAAATTGGCCAACCTTGGCAGCAGTCTTCTCAGAATCTTCAACAAGCTGCCCAACCACAGATACCAACCAAACTGTGATTGTCCTCTTTTCTACAAAACGCAGTTGCTTTAAAGCCTTTCCAATTGAAACAATATCTCCATAATGGGTAGTCCTGACCCCATCCATAGACTTAAGAGTTTCTCCTTCTGTTCCAGTCCTATGGTGAGGACAGTTTACCTTACTGTCACATACATGACTTGTTGATGCTCCCTGGCTACCCTCAATCCTAGCAGCTGCTATCTGAGCAAGACTTTGAGTTCTGCGCACGGTCTTCTGCCGACCTCTAGACACCTGCTTGGTTGACTTAAGTGGTGGATCAACTTTGAATGACTCTATGGGTTTGGGTCCCTTCCTCACCCACCACATATCTTCATCATCAGATTGAATTGGTGAAGCCATTTGAAGAAATGAACTCCTTTCCTCACTTAACTTTTGTCTCTTTGCACGTTTACAATCTTCACATCCAGGTGTACCTTCTGATGGATCCATTTTGTTGCCTGCTGTTCCCAAAGGCCTTTTCACACTCCCTTGAGATTCATCCAGTCCTGTGTCTACAGATGTAGCCGATGAACTTGGGAGCTGCAGCAGAACTGAAATGGAAGTCTTCAGTTCTTCAATGTCAGCATCACTCTTCACATTTTTACCAGAAGATTTACTAGAACAAGACCGGAAAGTTTTCCACTGATCAGCTCTAGCAGGAGCAATACCCTCTCTTCCATGGGTCTGATTAGACTTTAGCTTCTGAGAGGATACATTCACATTGTGATATTGACCACCAAGAAGCTCACGAAGTACAACACAACGCTCATTTGAGTAAATATTCATGGCGTCTACAAGTTGAGGTCCTTCAGCAATCCTTGCCTCTTCTAAAGCATCACGCAGAAACAATCCAGGCAGCTGCTTCAGAATTCGATGGTGTCTCCTCCTTCTGTCCAGGTCAACCATAGGACCATTCTTATCCAAAATTCCACTAACTATCAGCTGCCTCACATATGCCTGCGGGTAAAAAATGCCAGACCGTACAAGTTCACATATGAAATGCTGAAGGCGCTTGACACCCTCTCCTTTGTGAACTTCATGTTGATCAATCCAACATACAATGATATCATGTAAAGGACCAGGACTTTCAAAAATGTCTGATGAGTGTATTCTCATTCCATCCAAACGTTTCACATTTTTTATTTCATATCCACTTCCCAAAAATTTCCTCCCAGTATAACTATTCTGCTGGTTGGGAAATTTTGCAACGCTCTCAGACTTGAGTCGTGGTGAAGTATGCAAATCTCTTATCTTTAGCTTCAACAATCGAATAGCAACATATATTTGTGAAAAATCTTTTCTACCAGTGAACTTAACTTCTTGCAGTGGGGCAGTTCGAAAATCTCTGAAATCACATGTTGCCCACTCACAAAGGAAGAATACAGAGCAAACAAAGGACAAGCTTACAGCCCCAATCCACTTCAGCGATGATCTTAAGCATGGACTGACTTCCGCCATCCAACCTTCATCAACAGCTCCATCACGAAGATCTTCAAAAAGATATTTATAAGCCCCTCTGACATCTCCTTGCAGAAGTGTTTTATCCAAGGCCTGTACAGCTTTAGCAACACTGTGACCAGGGTAGCCAGGGCTAGCACCCTTTGCAAGATTATCCGCACGTCTCTGAATGGCAGAAATGACACGATCAAAGGAAAAGGATTGATACTGAGCATCAACCCCTTTCCATCTAACCACACAAGCAACATCAGTTGAGCTATTCTTTATCTTTCCTGCATCTTCAGATGCCTTTGACATAAAATTTCCATCACTTACTGCATACGATACTACACAAGGTGGTAATGGGAAACAATCTAATGCAACAAATGTATCAGGTACAGCCAGTATTAGATATCGAAGCATCTCAGCTAAAGCAGACATTGTATATGCCCTCCGAGAATTATCTACAAGATCGGATCCACCAGGCGAAGGTTCACGAATAAGATGAATAGCTATTCCAACAAGGGACCGTACATATGTTTGCGATAATACAATAGTTTCTAAAACACCATAAATAATAGGCAATACCAACTGCAAAATCTCAAGCAATTCTTTCTCCTGAAACTGCACATACAGGAAAATCAAAACCAGAGATGTAAAACCCAAAAAAAAGTAGAAATTACACTTTTCATTAGAGCACAGACCATGTCTTACCCAAAACTAAAACGTAAAATAAAATAAGCATACCAAAAAGAAAATACCTTCAGTTGGTTTAGAACCCAGTCGATAATATGAGAAGGAAGAAGCAGCCCTTCTGCATGGTGCCATTGCACAAGCCGCACCACATACCACCATTTAAAATGCAGGGAAGGCTCCTCACCATCAACAACTGCTGCTGGATCACTCCTTTGCAAAACAGACCCAGCATAAAGCACTTGTGGGGATCGATCTCTGGAGTGTTGAGTAGAATGAGAATTATTTCTTGTGATGAACTCATCCAGGAGGTATTGCAAGTAATCAATAACATCTTTTGTCCAGAGCTCAGTGCGAGACAGCTGACTTTTGTCAGGAGCCCCAGAAGAAATATTAGCTGAACTGGGACGGACCTGAAAAAATACAACCATAATGTGCTGCCTTCCAATACATAAAAATATACATATTAAAAAGAAAAGAGAAAGCCAGGTTTAATTAAATGAATTCGATAATTTTCCTCGACAAACCAAGCATCTATACCTGATTAAGATAAGTTACTTTGATAAACCAAGTTGCTCTCAGCAATGGAACATTATTTCGAATAAGTACTTCGAATAAGGATCTTTTCCTATAACCATGAGGAACATGGTCGGACAAAGAACGTAATCGTTTATGTTGTTGTGATAAACCCTATAATGGAAAAAAAAAGGAAAATTTTAAATTATTGAAACATAAATAATTAGGTACGAAGAAAGAAATTATTAGATAAAAACCGAGTATAAAACTCATACCTCAATCCATTTCTTCTTGAAATCTTCACCACATTGCCTCTGCTCAGGATAGGCACCAGGCTTAGATAAAAGTGAACCAGAAAGAGGCACGCCATAAACTTGACCAGCCTGTTATTGAAAAAATAAGCGTATAGCTTCAATTTCCATGACCACCATTTAGAACTTCCATATAGATGCATATGCATATTCCATAACTATATCCATAAATGTATCTCAGAAAATGAAATTATAGAATAACCCTGTAAAGGTACACAATGGTTCAAGAAAAAGTACAAAAGCAGACGTGGGAGACAGGTTTGAATATATATATGTTTTTCCGGCGAAGAAACTTCCCAAAAAACTTAAGAGTGATTAGAAAACGATCAAAGCATCACCTTACGCTTTTGAGCTCGAGATTCATTAATGGCCCTTAGACATTTTCTGATTGCCTGCAGATAATAGCAAATAGTTAACAATCAGGCAAACCGCTAAGCATTTTCCATAAGATTACAATCCAACATGGAGAAAGTAGCAGAACTTCAAAAGGCCGTCCTAGCCCCATAAATCAAGTCATTCACCTCTCTGCACTTCAGGACAACAGGCTTATTAAAAATTGGAACCTGAGACAGTGAAATCTCCCTGACTTCCTGTCCAGCATATAAAACCAAGTTAGATTATAACCACCAAGGGTGACACATATGTGCTCTCATCATCAATATTTTGCAAGTGAAACATGCTTAGATGATTATATTCCTTGCACGATACACCAAGGGACCTATTTGTTCTGACTAAATTAAATGCTTCTCCAGACAAAAGACAATATAATGTTCCTTTAATAAACACATCAAAGGACCAATTTATTCAGACTAACTTATGCTTATGCCCATATTAGTGTGGCTTAAAACTATGAAAAAAATCTCAAGGAACTTGAGCATATTGGAGGCAAGAAACAAGATTTCTCCTTAAGTTGTGACAAAATATCAAATAATGGTAAACTGGGAAAAAAAGGTCAGACAAAGATGACTAACAATTTAACAAATCAAAAATAAAACAATAACATCTGAATGCTGCAACTTGAAAATCTAACAAGAATAAGTGGATTCTAAGAGCATACCTCAAGTCCTTCAACAGTCTCCTTGTATCCATTCTGCACATATTCTCCAGAGAGAGTCTCCTCGGGGCAATTTGGAGTTTGAGGGTGAAAATCGGGTGGCCCAAGCCTGAGGATAGAATTATGACAAATTAAAAAATGGATAAGAGAAATTACCCAGCAACATAAGATAATGTGATTAAGAAGCAAATTACCAAAACCAAAAACTACTACACCTAGGTACTTACTGCTACTTGCAAGCTCTTAACTCCATTCTGTGATTTCTATGTTAAATAGTTCCACAGGGGGCAAAATTAACTAATACAAAAAAAATAAAAATGCTACAGTTTTACAGAAATTACCTGGAATTCAAAGGTTCTTTATCACACTTCAACTTGTATGGTGTTAACGAATTTGACCGCCTGCAAAATTGAGAAAAATTCACTTCATTATGTGGGAACGACCTTTGTCACTTAAAAACTGTCTTGCAAAGAAAAAATAAATAAATAGCCTATGATCCCCAAGCTTTCAAAAATAAAGAATTGCCTTAGATAAAAAAAATTATAGGTTACTGAGGGAAAGAGAGGACCAAGCAACTCATCAAGACCTATTTGAGGCATAAGTAAGCAAACTTTATGTAACCATTACCTAGAATTTACAGGGAAGTTAGAAGACAGCGAAGATGAATCAGTTCGGGAAGCATCCCTAGCTGATGCCCCACCTATTGCACTGTTATTAACAGCACTAGTGCAGTTGGTAGGATGATACCGTTGCATTTCTCCCAACTATCACCGGCATGCTGCTTTCAGCATCAACAAACTACAAGAAGCTGTAAAAGCAAAACCACATTAAAAAGTGATCCGCATGTTATAGCTAACCAAGCAAGATCACCATGTGAGCTATAAAGTAGAATCCTTTTTGGTATACAAAATGGAATAATAGTTGGATACAACAACAAAGAAGTCAATTCTATCACCTCAAGCATTTAATATCTCTTGGTTAATGCGATACAACTCCCTCAACAGTGACAGAATGTGAATAGATATACTGCATTTATCCAAAACGACAAATTTTTAGCTCATCAGCATGAAACAAGAAATGATAGCCAATGCTGCACATGAATAGCAGAATTCTGAACTATCAAGAAGAGTTCAAAACAATATATCTCGAACAAAAAAGTGATCAAGTAGGGAAATAGGGAATAAACGACAGAGAATACCATAAATAACCAATATAGTGTATCACAAAGTTGAAACTTGAAACCAACAACTTTCTTATATTTTACTTGTTTAATTTATTTTGAAGCTGTACTAAATATATACAATGTCAAGAATTTGGGGGATAAATCAATTTTGTTACTCTAAACCGCCAAAATATAAAATATTACCTAATACGCTAAAGTTTTATTTTAAGCCCTCAAGGAAAAGTTAGAAGCCGCCAAAAGTTCGGAGTAATAACATTAATAAAATTTTAAATGCAAACGCCAAAATATTGGATACAAACCCGCCCCAATAATTTGGAGTTGAACTAATCAATATATAACCCAATTTTTCCGAATTGTCGGACATCTAAACTTAATAGAAATAAACAAACACTGTAGTAAAATGTTGAACCTCCCCGTAAACAAAAACTTCAAATTTCCACAACACAACACAACACATAAACCTAAGTTTTGAAATGCCAAAATACCAAATTAGAAACAAAAGGAATAAAGCAATAAACTTTCGAACCAGAAAAACAAGATGTTCAAAAGTTTAACAATATAGAAGTTTCAACTAGAATGCAAAACAGCAACAAAGATTAATCAAATCACTTTGATCTGCAAACATTAACCATGAAACTACCACCAATAACTCAGCCCTAGCATTTCCCCTCCCACGATAACAAACCCAAGCAGCCAAATCAGTTCAAAACCAAAACGAAACGAAAAAAAATAATTTTAAAAAACGACAATAAATGGCACCGCATCCACATATAACCAAAACAAATCTAGTGAATCGCCAAGCAAATTACATCATAATTACATCTTCTATCGTACTAAAACGAATATAAACAGTAAATTACCAAATCTATAACCAAAAGCATCCTAATTTGTAATTTCAACACATACAAAAATTAGGGTTTATGCCGAACTCTAATTTTAGGGTTCAGATGCAAGAAACAAGTTATTAACATACTCCAGATTAGGGTTTGAGCGTAGCAGTAAAACTAGGGTTTTGATGGCAAAGCCATAAATTAGAAGAATAAGTGTAGGATAGAATGGGACAAAAGAAAGATTTAGATTGCTAGAGAGAAAGACAAGTAAAGGGCGTACCTTGAAAGATTTTTGGATTGAAAAATTTGAGAGGTACAGTATTAGAGAAAATAATTTTAGGGTTATCGAAGAGAAGAGTCTCGGGCTTTGGGGACTTTGACTCTTTTTAGCTTTGCTGATGACGAAGATGATGATGCCTCTGTTGCTTCCTGCGCTTAAAAGAATAAAAGGGAGGAGAGTGATCTACTGATTAAAAATTATTTATTTTTGTTACTCCATCCGTTTGGTCTGTTTTGCCCTTCTACATCTTGTAATAATTACATAGAAAACTAACAAAAACAATTATCAAATAATCAGACCTTGTTTCTAATTAAGGTCATAGATGTCAATTCAGTAGTTAAATATTTACAGTAAAATAAAACTGAATTAATTAAAAAAATAATTTTTCAAAATAGAAATCTGATTTAAATGGTATAATAAAAAATGATTAATTTAAACTGAAATATAGAAATTAGGGTAAAATGATGTCCATAATTGTAAAGACACAATGATACAAAGTTTGACGGTTTGACGGAAGGAGTAGTGGGAGCACCAAAAGGAGGGAGTTAACACACAAGAAGTATTATTTATGTCCTGTCCGTAGTTTGACTCCAAAGGAGATAATGTCTTGTTTGGCTATTTTAATTTAACTTTTTCCCATCATGTTCATCCTCCTGATTTAGGGTTTTGCTTGATAAGGCATGTATGGCCTTATTTATTTTCTTTATTATTATTTTAAAAATAAAAATTTACCCTTCAAAATCAATAATAAAACCAAATCCAAAAACACTCTTAGGGCCTTTATTGGTGATCTGCTACACCAACAGCTCTGCAGTTTTAGGTAATTTAGTTGGCTTTCATAACTCAGATACTCAATATTCTTCGAATCTCTCACTTTTAATTACTCAGTAAATTGCATCTCATACGGTCAGGAGTCACTGGGGTTTTGGTCTACTTTGTCAAGGTCCTACTGTATAGACTTCTAACAAGCAACAATGATAAATGCCCTTATGTATTCTGAATTAATCTTCCCTTACACTCTAACGGCAACAAAATTTCACCTCCACCGTTGATCAATTTTTGTACAACACCGCCGTAGCCGCCAATCCACTTCACTCAACACCGATGATGCAGCGTCACAAAAGAAAGCCGTCGATGCAATTACAAAAGCATCACGTTGATGACATGTGATGGCGAATGCGGTTGTGGTGGTGGTGGGTTGAGTGAACTGCGACGAAGTGGTGGCAACGTTAAAGCCATGTTAGCACTTTCCCGATGTTTGATTTGTTTGAAATTTTTAATTTGTTTGATTTTTTCCTATTCAAACGAAAATATATTTTGAAAAGGAAATATCAACTTATGGTTACAGTCAAATTATTTGTTTATGAAATTTTTTGAGTATTGTGATTTTGTAGGCCGTTTGGTGTTTTTTTTGTTTGTGATGTTTCGCCGGTGACAACCCCGCGATCATTTTCAGATTTTTTTGGGAAACGTTTTCTATTGTTGAGAACTTTATGTAGAATCATATCTTGTGTATATTAATGTGTTGTGGTAATGAAATCCTATATGGGGAGTCCATAAATATTAGGAATTGAAAATAATATTTTCCTCTTTTGTTAGTGAAATTAAACAGTGTCGAAGCATTTCAAGAATTTGTGTTGATTTCGTGGGTTGCAGGGAAAGTGTTTGAAAATTTGTCTATATGTGACTTTGTAGGATCATTTTTGAAGCCATAAAGTGAGGAAGTTGCAAAGGTGGTACAATGAGCTCGGAGACACAAGTAAAGACTGGGCCTCCCCAGATTTTTAAATCAGATGAAGCATTGAAATTGGTATTTTTTTTTTTCTTCTTTTTTGCTCCATTAGGTTTTGAAGAATGAGTTTTGGTGTTTTATTCGATGGCATGTTTAGCTTCTGGGTTTGCGCCCCAATTGAACTGATTACTTGTAATGAATTTGTGATGGTTGGACTCACAAGAATTCTCTTCCTGTGCAGAAGACAGTGACACTTAAGTTGTGGAAATATATATGTATTTATTTCAACATTGATTTTTTTCTTATTTTATAAGTGTTACTTGATTTTTATGATTGAGCATAATGAGGACTTTGATGATGAATGATATGACGGTGTACATGTTAATTTGGATTTATACTACCAGATGCTCATTTAGGCTTAGAAATTGTGCCTAGGTTTTTGGGACATTTGGAAGATGTCTTCCTTTTCCTTCTAGAAGAGCATTATAAATTTCAATGTTATCTGAAGAACAGCAGTATTAGTCTTGTCTGGAAGTGGGTTATGCTGAATTCCGTGGAGAGTGCATGGATTCACTGGTATTTACTGTATACATTTGCCTATACTGAAATCTTCACCTTTTCTTTGTGCTTGACATTGTTGATGCGCAGGCTGAGCAATGGGTTAACAATATGACTAAAGTTGAAGAGGATGAACCAACCAAAGTAGAATCAGAAGGCCGACCTTCTAGGTCATATAACAATCTTTGTATAGTTCACCCTGGCTTTATTGCATGATCAAAAGCTCTTTGTTAGAACTATTATGCTTGTTTTTGTAGGCTTGGACTAGGTGCAAAAGTTTCACTCAAATCCAAATTTCAACCTTCAAATGATCCAGTTGAAAGAAAGTTGCATGCCAGGCTGGATGCTCGCAAAAGAAAAGCAGCAAAAAATGCTGAGGAGTCAATGCTGTCTGCTAAAGACGGGCATCATGATGATGATGATGATGAAGATGATTTAGAAAGCAGAACTAGTGCTTTTGAAAAGAAAAGAGCAGTTGTATCAATGAAGAAACAGAAATAACTTGTCACATCGTGAAGATCAAGTGTTTGAACTGTGTTCATTTTAATGTATATCACCATTTTGTGAACTGTGTAACTTGACACCTTCTAGTGTATGATTATTTAAGCTTTTGCTTCAATCAAGATATGTTGTTTGAGAGGATAAACTTGTGGGACTGAATTGGGCTTATTAACTAATGCTATTACTTCACTCCTTGCAAGATCCTTGAACTTGATGGATGAAATTCGGATGATGCGGGCCTTTTCAGTGCCGAATGTCTGGTTAATTTGCCTATTTAACAGAACTTAAACGTGTTTTGGTAGCTGTACAACATTGTCTTCATGAATGCTGACATGCACCTCTATTGGCTTTGATTGTGTATGGATCTACAGGAGGCATACAGACAGCCAACTGATGGTGTTAAAAATTATGCGGGTCCCTGGTACATATCCATGAATGTTTGGTGCTGCAACTGCAATTCTTTGTTCAAATGAGCATAATCTTCTTTTGAGGATAGAGCGTAGGTATTTGTCATCTGACAGTCTAACTACATAAAACTTAATTAAGCATCAAACCTGAAGCCATAAGACCTATTGAAAAGACCTAATTGGGTTGTCTGTGTTCTCTTTGTCCTCTGTGTGTTCGTTATTGTTCTGATTCTGATTGTGGGTGAAACACTAGAATCATATGTAGAAATATTGCAGGTTCTTTAGCTCATTACTCAATTATGGTGGTTAATATAGAATTAGACTATGCTGATGGCCCAGCAAGATACCTCAAAGATCAGAAGTTGGACAATGAATGAAAAATAATAATATAAGTCGAGCTTCCGTTTGCATCAAATCACGAGCTCCATAGCTTATTTCTGTCCCAATAAATAGATTATTTTTTATTTAATATATTCATAATTTCAGAGTTTAAAAATGTGAAGAATTTAGTGCAATATTGCGGCTTAAGTAAAGTATAAAACAAGCTTGAACAAGCAATCAACAATTTTCTTTGTACTGGTATTCAACAATTCCATGTAGANGATGATTTAGAAAGCAGAACTAGTGCTTTTGAAAAGAAAAGAGCAGTTGTATCAATGAAGAAACAGAAATAACTTGTCACATCGTGAAGATCAAGTGTTTGAACTGTGTTCATTTTAATGTATATCACCATTTTGTGAACTGTGTAACTTGACACCTTCTAGTGTATGATTATTTAAGCTTTTGCTTCAATCAAGATATGTTGTTTGAGAGGATAAACTTATGGGACTGAATTGGGCTTATGAACTAATGCTATTACTTCACTCCTTGCAAGATCCTTGAACTTGATGGATGAAATTCGGATGATGCGGGCCTTTTCAGTGCCGAATGTCTGGTTAATTTGCCTATTTAACAGAACTTAAACGTGTTTTGGTAGCTGTACAACATTGTCTTCATGTATGCTGACATGCACCTCTATTGGCTTTGATTGTGTATGGATCTACAGGAGGCATACAGACAGCCAACTGATGGTGTTAAAAATTATGCGGGTCCCTGGTACATATCCATGAATGTTTGGTGCTGCAACTGCAATTCTTTGTTCAAATGAGCATAATCTTCTTTTGAGGATAGAGCGTAGGTATTTGTCATCTGACAGTCTAACTACATAAAACTTAATTAAGCATCAAACCTGAAGCCATAAGACCTATTGGAAATACCTGATTGGGTTGTCTGTGTTCTCTTTGTCCTCTGTGTGTTCGTTATTGTTCTGATTCTGATTCTGGGTGAAACACTAGAATCCTATGTAGAATTACTATATTGCAGGTTCTTTAGCTCATTACTCAATTATGGTGGTTAATATAGAATTAGACTATGCTGATGGCCCAGCAAGATACTTAAAAGATCAGAAGTTGAACAATGAACGAAAAATAATAATATAAGTCGAGCTTCCGTTTGCATCAAATCACGAGCTCCATAGCTTATTTCTGTCCCAATAAAGAGATTCTTTTTTTTTTAATATATTCATAATTTCAGAGTTTAAAAATGTGAAGAATTTAGTGCAATATTGCGGCTTCAGTAAAGTATAAAACAAGCTTGAACAAGCAATCAACAATTTTCTTTGTACTGGTATTCAACAATTCCATGTAGAACAATCAGGGATACTAACACACACGAGTGAAATCTCATTTACTCTTGGCTCTTATAATATAACACAGTAATCACAACTCGCAACACTCCCAACTTTGTAAATACAACAGCAAAACAACGGAACAAAGAAGAAGAAGAAGAATGAATGAAATCAGACAAAATAAAGAACACACCAAACTCTACAAGTTATGCAATGAGAACACTACTATAGTCACTGGGTGAAATGCCCTAATCCATCACTAAGAGAGTATATGTCATCACTGAAAAAGTTGCAGTGGAAGTCACGCTGTCTTTGTATAATGACCACCTGAACTTTGAGTTATTTGATCTTTGCTCAAGAAGGGTCCTTCACTCTGATGATTTGCTGCCTAAGAAGGCTCCCAAGTATGGTTAAATGACATGAAAGATTGTGTATATCTACACATATTCATATTCAGTGGCAAAGTTAGAAAGAGGCTGTCAAATTCTCCCTTTCAGCGATGAGATGTCACTGATCCTCTACTTGATGCATAATAGAGGAGTAACCTACTTTTCCTCCCACCCTGACACAAGGTGAGTTACAATTATTGATATGAACAAAGAAGAGTATTCTGATTTACATGTAAATCCCATCCTTTAACTCACAGCCAGAATCACCGGACATCTACTTTCAGGACTTTCATTTTCTAAGCTTAATATGGTATCTTCCATCAATTCTTCAAGAATGACTTCACCCATTTCAATACCAATACAGTCAGTATCAAATCGGAGGTCCATCCATGATCCAGATTTAGCCAAGTCTTTTCTGACAGTCTGGTCTAATGTATGAGGAAGTGGCAGTGGGATCAGATGCCATAAAATTCCTTCCCAAATCTCATGAAGAGCATTTTGCATGTTTGGGACTGGCCGGATGTAAGGTTTAGCAAATGATACAGAAGGTGTACAACCAAAGTAGTGCCCACAAACTTCCATGAGAACTTCGTTAATGCAATCAAAGAGGAGTTTCTGTTCATAACAGATCTGGCTGGGAAAGAACTCTATCTCCTCACACAATGATGGGTCAAGAAGCTGGTCTGAAGAAAGGGACTTCATAAAGAGTTCATCCCAGTTTAAGCCAGAGGTTTGTAGCACTGTTTTCACATACTCAAAAATTGATTTCTTGTCTTCCATAGAACTTTTCATTTGGATACACTGATCTTCAGTTGCTGAGTCGCATTCTTCAAATTGAATTTGAAGAGGTTGTACTGGTACTTCAGCTAAAGATTTTTGAATGAAAAGATATTAGCCCAAAAGTAAAGTCAGAAACAAAGAGAACATGTATTACATATAAGATAAATTAAACTCTAGAATCATACCAGAACGGGATCTGGTGCTTGCAGGGCTGATGTCCTCCTCTGCAAATAGGGGCTCAAGAACAGACACAGGACTTGGACGCTCCAATATATCAATAGCACTCCCTTGATCTTCAACCTTCTTGGTGGCTGAAGATTTTGATGGAGATGCTAATGGAGATGATGGCAGTTGGTTATCCACAGACAGTTCCTGGAAGATAAAACAAAAAAAAAAAAAATCGGATGAAATGACAGAAATAAACAGGCCCTCCTAAAAAGATGAGACACAGAAAAGCTCAAATATATCTTCTGTGGTCTTTCAGTGCTGGTGTTAATACATTAGCCCAAGATTTTATGTTCTTATTAAAATGATCTATTCTTTTACTTAATGCTCCCTGGTGGAAGGTAAGAAAACGAACAGAAGTGAGTCACCAGCATTTAGTCATTCTGCATGGTTTTGCTATGAAGGGCAATTCTATTTCTAAACATACCAGATATGTTTGATTCATTTTGAACTCAAATTTACAAATGCTGTTATATCAACAAATCACCAGAAAGGATTGATCTTATGTACCAAAGGAATACCCTTATATGATGTTACCTGTTTGATGTCAGAGCAATAACTTTGTCCATCACCAATTTCTGACTCATCAACATTCTGGTCATCATCTTTAATACTGGAAGAGCTACTTGGTTCACAGGGAGCATCCAAGACACTGCTCTCTTCCTGGACTACAGCTCCATTTGTTTTAACAATTTCCACATCATCTGAAGAAATGTTTATGAAAGGTAAACTAAACAATAAAAAATGTGAATGGGAACAAGGGCATTATTACCATAAATTGGATAGTTGAAAAAGCAATACCTATAGAGAGAACCTCATCTCCAATAGAAAAGGAGGTTTTACCCACTTCGTTATCATGAAACTGATTGACCGAGCTATTTGAATCTAAGCTAGCGGCTTCTACTTTATCATCAGTTATTTCACCAGAAATGCATGGCTGAGTCTCCAAACTCTTTGTTGTTTCACCCAGATGGCTAAAATGGCTGTCCTGTTCAAGAGATGATGTGCTCTCATTCATCTCCTGCAAGGTGTCAGAGTCAAGAAATCTCATCTGTGCAGTTACAAAGCTAGGCTCCCAGTTTCTTCCAGGGCTACCAACAGGAGAGAAGTTATACTCAGGAACAGAGAGAATCCTTCCTAGAGTTTTGGGAACACGTCTACTTGAAGAATCCATATTTTCATCACCAATATTCAGCATCTCAGAGAGATGTTTCTTGGCCTCAATATAAATATTAGATACCCTTTGCTTAGGCAAATTAGCACTTTTCTCTTTTGTATCTAAGTCACAGTCTTTCAGCTTGCCAATCTTGTCTCCTTTCTTGACGCCAACAGGTCTAGCAATTTTTTCAATGAAGAAATGGTCTTTCGATGGAGAGTTGATTCCTACATTCTCCTTAATCGCTCTGTCTCTATTCCCTGAATTTTGACGCTCATATGCTAACCCTTTTGGAATACCATCAGTGCTGATTCTCTGGTGCTCCTTTCCCATAGCATTTTTCAACTTTCTTTTAATTTCAGAGAGAAAAAAGTGGGAACCAATTCTCTCATTTAGTCCCTTGTTTCTGATACTGTAATGAGGTTCTGGTGATGAGCCAATGCTTCTTTCTGTTTCAAGGCTCTGCACACTTGTTGGCCCAGGCTTCAAAATAACTATTCTATTTGACGTTTGAGAAGCCTTATTTCCAGTCAATGGACTTCTTTCCTGAGATTTAACCTTCTTCCTGAAAAATCTTCGCTGCTTATGGTTGACAAGCTCATCAGATTGCCCAAGATTACTGACCTCCTGCTCCGATATATTGGATCCTGCAACTGACTTGGTGTCTTCATCTTTCTCCAACTGTGCATCGAGAAAGTTTTGAATGCATTCCACCAGCACTGAATTTGGATCTTTCAGATGTTTCAGAAATAGTTCCCCATCTGAACCTAAAATCTGAAGCGCATCCTGAAGTTCATTGGAGGGGTGGATTTCCCCATCTTCTGAGAGATGTTTCCCTTTAATGAGTTTCTGACCTATTAACAACTTGATTGCTTCACTCAGTTTTTCTTCAAAATCAGGATTCTTTTGGTTTGATTGCAGATGAAGTTCATCAGGCTGGTCATGGTTCACACAAGTTACACTTTTCTGATAGATCTGGTGGCAGAATTCTTCCATTACATTGTCTATATCAAGGCTGATTGTTGATTGATGCTCTGAAATGTGATGACAAGATTCTTCGGATTTTACACTTTCCAGAGCATCCAGATCATGGATGTTGTCACGGCTTTTCTTTTGAGCCTTTTTCATTCTTTTGCGAGACTTCTTTTTGCGGTTTCCTTGTTCTGAGTCAAAAACTTTTGTTTCTACTTCAGCATTGTTTATCTCCTTGGCATCCTGCTCGCCAATCATCTCTTCTTCTATGAGACTTTTCACACTTGGCTTACCAGCATCAGCTGCTACGGTTCTAGTCTCTTCACCATCCTGAAACAAATTCAAATAGTTTATTCGGTAATAACACCTAAAAATTCAAAAATAAGGATTTCCGTAAACTGACAATCCTTACAAAGGTTCCTTCACGATTATCATTCCAGGTCAACATATGAAGCTTATTCATTGGGGATCCTGCACCTGAAAAGGACAGAAAAGATTCAACCAATAAGAGGAAGACGAACACATTTTAGACTAATATGTCTAACTGGAACCAATGTCTATCATCAACACCTGAAAATAACCATCCAAGCATATCAACATAATAGCTTCCAAAATTTAATAATCACCAACAAATAGTATAAAAAACCCTGCAGGTTATATAAATACCATCTCTCCATCCTTAGAGATTCAGTCTGCATTTTCAATAGGGCAATCAGTTTAAATAAGTTCATCTCGATCTTAAACAGAGTTCTTACCAACTGAAAGTCTGCCAGAACGCCTCCTATCTGAAAGCAATCTCTGAGTGGAGCGACCATGGCGAAAGTCAAATATATTTATCAAACCCCACATACAGCCCGAGTGATCTTTCTCATATCGCACTGGACGTTTCTGTGATCTTTTTGCCATGGTCACTGGGAAGATTCTTTGAAGTAATTATCCTTTGTTCCTCCAAATCTTTTCCTAGACAAAGAAAGGACAATTAAATGATGTCACCTAGAAATGCTGCTTCTCTAAATATCTCAACACAAAAAAAATTGAAGGTAAAAAAGGATTCGGCCACATCAATGATAAAAATATGTTAAGTGCAAAAAAACTAAATGAATTCACGTGTGACTGCAAACAGATCTAAAAGATGAAAGGAAGCAGTATAATAAGACATTACACATCTAATGATATAGTCATCTGATAATGTTGGTACTCTCAACACTCCCTCTCTCTGGCACGCATATGCATGCAAAGAGAGACAGACAGAACATAATTGAACCGCACTGGTAAAATTGTCTGACCTTACTAAAAGACAATGTGAGGTTTCTGAAATGACAGTATCAGATCATAAAAATAACTGAAAATGCAGTGAACTTTTTACTGTTACAGTTCGGATTTCCAGTCATAGCTCTTTAATATAAGCTCCCAGGATATTAAAGAATTCATGTTCCTCACCAAACAATTCAATATCTAAAACAAGGCAAATAAATAAGCAGAAATCTTCAAACGAGTAAACATGCTAAAAGATATATAATAATCATTGAATGATCAAATACATAATCATATTGCAGCAGTTTAAAATACAATGTGAGTAACAAGTTCACACAGAATCAATCATCAACATCCTGAAAGTACTAAAAATTGTATTCACAGATAATAAAAGGTAAAAGTATAGAGCTTTTTTGGAATTAGAATACGCAGAAAATTGATAAAAGTAAATGAACTTCATACCTCAAATTAAAGTGCCGGAATTCGATACAGCCGCTAAGTATAGCAAAAACATAACCAAAATAGATCTATATATCAAAAAAAATTCCAAACTTCTCAACAGAGTAAAGCCCAAGGTTGCTAAGCTTTCTTTAGATGGCAAGGTATCAGAGCCTTCTTTTTGCCTCCACAAGCCTTAGCAGACGCCTCAAATTCCTCACCACTCAAAAACTTTTTGATAATATGATCTTCCCTTCAACGAAAAGATCAGTTTTCTCTCACGACCACAACTATATCGTAGCTTAATAATTTCCCTTCAAGAATTAGTAAACAAAATAACGTAAAGATCAGCTTGGCGGGGATGAGCGATCATATTCTTGAAACACATTCAACGACCTCTTTATTCGCATGCAGCAAAAGCAACTTCCGATATTAAATGATTTAACACCATCAGCACATAATCTCTGAACAACCACAATGAAAATTCCAAGAATTGGAATATTTGCTTTTTGCCAGTACTACTTAAAGTTGAAGACTCTCCTTCAATGTCATATTGTCAATGGTTGATGACCAAATATAAACAGTTGGAAAACTCCAATTCTCTCTGACAAACGCCGATTAAAGCTAGCTTTTCTAAAGATTATCTTCAAAACTTGATAAAATTCAAATAGCAGAATTCTTAAACAGCAAAACCCCAGATGAACTTTGAGGAAATTCTAATAGCTGAGAAATAACACAGCAAAAACAAGGACTTTTTCTAAGTGGGTATCTGTTGACAACTAAAAAGAGATAAAAGAGGCCCTCAAATTCCAATTTAGCACCGACCCAATAGTTTATTTAAGAGCAATTCTCAAACGGGCAGGCATCAAAGACTTTGTGAGAAGAAAAAAAAAAGTGAGAGAGAGATGGAAAGTGAAAGGAGATAACTTTTTACAATGTTGTTGGCTGACCGTAGAAGAATACGTGACAGTTGGTTTTGTGTTTTGTTGGGGCCCATCTTCAAAGTAAGAGTGAGAGAGAGAGAGAGAGAGAGCTTCAGCTTCATATTCAAGAAAAGTATGTTGTGTCTCCATTTTATTTCTCCTATTACTGCAGGCTTCACGTTCAGCCATCATCAAACTCACCAACACCTCTCTCTATAAAATTATTTTTAACTTTTTTCTCTGAAACTCTTGTCTCTCCATACAGAAAATGTCTACAGGAGTCGTGTTTTTGTATGTACTTTCTGGTTTCTAAAGACTACAGGCTATAGAGAGAGAATTTATGAGCGTTGAAAAATGAGGATCGGGATTCGATATTACGTATGCGCAGCACATAGACATACTCGGTGGAGAGGGAGGGGTAAAAACGTAAAAACAGCCGGCTTCATAGGAGAAGCTACAATTTGGTTTGATTTTGGCATTATAATGTATCACTAATATTTTTAAGATTAAAAGTCAGATTGAAGCAAAAGCTACATTAATTACTTTTAAAATAAAGATTAATAATGATGTTGGGATGAAGGGTTTGGCTTTTGGTAAACCACTATGATGATAATCATATATGTTTATTTTCGAAATTCAAATTTAATCTGCTTATTTATCTGCTCAGTGCTCACCACCTTCAACTCTCTCTTTCCCGCGATCTCAATTTTGTTGTTTTTCAAATGCACCAAATTCTGTTTAAATCATCGTGATTTCTGGACTTAAAATCACGATTAAGACGTAACCAAAAATATATATTTTATTATGGTTTCAAAATTAATTTAGTGATAAAAGGATAAATGTGCAGGATTTTTAAAACTTCCACGACAAAAGCAAAAAAGAAAAATCGAATTTTTATATTTGAAATTAAATAAAACCCACACGATTTTCTGATCAAATATTAACTTATCAACATCATCCACTCAATTTCATTAGTTTACTGAAGAAGTCTAATGTATGGTCATTAATTCATTTATTGGCAAAACTAAAATGAGTTAGCAATTTTTTTCGACCCAAATAATAGTTTAATGACATTTCTTACTCACATTTTTTTTAAATTATTCTTTTACTACCTAAATTAATATTTTGATGACAAACAAACAGTAAACTCGGTTTAGATTGTTAAGGGTTTTTAAGAGGAAAGGCTCACGAGTTTTTTTGTGGTGAAAAGTTGGATTTTAATGGTTAAAATTGATCGAAATTTGGCTTAAGAGGGACAGTTGCGTAAATCCTAATCGCTCAACTGTCAGTGATTAGTAAGATCGACAGGAGTAGAGTTTGAGGAATCGTAACGATACCAAAATAAAAAATAAAATATAAAGTTAGATAGTAAAATAGTATTTTAAAAGTAAGAGAAAAAATCTTTTATTCAAACTAAAATTATCTTAAGTTGTAGGAACAAACATAAAAAGTAAAAACAAAGAGTGCCGGGGGTGGGCAGAGAACAATAATCAGATGCATGCAAATTCAGGAATCAGAATACTGGTGCTGATTGTGAAGTTGCCCGTTGCCGACGGTACACGTGAGGAGGAGTTGGGCCTAAATAGAGGTCCCTCCCTATTCACTGCATGAAAGAACAAAGATGTGGACCCCCTCTCATAGTCTCATTTACCAACTCCAATAGTGACTCCTCTTCCTCCTCCTCCAATCGCTCTAAGGCCCATATGAGACAATACTTACCCACCTTCACCACCCTTTGTTTTTTCTTCCTCCATTGCTTTGTTAGGTTAATATTTTGTTTCAACCCAATCAGGCGTGCATCGATTGTTAATTAGAAGGGTTTTTCATAAGTGTCCAATTGTGCATATATCCAATTACTGGAATCTCTTGAAGTTATCGACATTGATTTTGTTTTAAGTGATCTATGGCTCTATCTACCGAATTGGGACCGCTTTATTATATGAAAATTTAGTACCAACTCTTGCCTAAATCATGGATATTAGGAAGCAACTTACCAGAAAAATGACAGATTAAGATTGTTTAACATCATGTTTGTTGTCTTTAACCTTTGTAATATCCCATTTAACTAACTTGAAAGATTGTTTTTGCATGCCTAAACTGAGGCAGCTGTTTACTTGCTTACGCGTAAAGGAATTCAAGATAATTGAAGAGAGAGGAAGGGTTGTAACGGGGAAGACACAGAGCAGAGAGGACCACAAAAAGTAAGCACTCCTTCTTCACCAATCATGTTTTCACCAACTTAATTTTCATATACATGCAAATGGAGACAATGGGTTCCGGTAACCATCCATCACCATCGGCCGTACACGTGGATTGAGACAATGAATTCTCTACACAAACATTGTTAACACAGTAAGATCTAACCCAAAAATAGTTGGTTGAAATTAGCTTATCAGATTATGTCACTGTACAGTATCAAAGCTAGATTTTATATTGTGAATATTGCTTATTGAATGGTATGGTGGTTGTCATGTAGGATTAGAGACCACAACAATATGATGTCAGCCGGCTGTCCGTATTTGTCTTAGCAACTTAAAAATTATATATAAATTGTAGTTTAAGGAGGGTATGGGATGCATATGAGGAAGATGGTTAGCCATTGTTCTATTGGTATTGGGAGCTTATTGGTTTATTAAATTGGTGGAAACCATCATAATTCTTGTGATGAAATTAAAGCTCAATTTGATCTGCAACTTACCAGACTGTGGAAACTTTTGTTTTGATAATGAAAGGTGGGTGGGGAAGGATAATTTTCTCGAGAAAAAAGAAAAGGGTTTTTCATTTGGATATGCCATTCCAACCACTGTCTTTATCAAATAAAGCATTGGATGCTACCTCAAAGAGAAGGGCTCCAGCCCATGATGCCAATATGCAGAAAAGTGAAAAAAGGTATATATTATAAGTTGAAATACACTCAACAAAGTAATGATAGATTATGGAGATTAAATCCACTTTAATATTTTTATGTATGATTATGAGTTGGCCAACCAAAGAGGCAGTGGAATGATGAGTCATTGACAGTACCACAAATAGGTTCTTCATTGTGCATTGGCAAAGTAACGCCCCACATTAAAAGGACCGTAAATTTTTGTCATGTGATCATAAACCTTTGCTTCAACGATAACGTAATTGATCCAGATGTACAAAGTGGGTCCTTATTCTACTTTGGAATTGCTTCCATATAATATAATATATTTTGTCATCGAGGTGGTAAACCAGTTACGTACTTTAAAATTCTTGAGATTATAAAATTAACAATCAGATAAACCTCTAGTGACCGCCCTTATTAGTAATCGAGGTAAATTAAATTAAGGATCTCTGGAAGTTCTATTCAATTATTTAACCACAAAGGGTGGTTTGCTTCCCTATATGTTACATATATGCTTCTACAGTATTATTAAAAAAAAGAAAAAAGGATTTGGTAAAGCATTGTAATTAAAGATCTCCCTTATGTCTTTGGTCCTCTAATAAGACAAGATAGTGTCATCTTAGAGAAATAAACAATGGATTATCCAATAATCAACATTCTACCAATCTAATCATTGGCTGAATGAAATAAGCATAGAAATTATAGATAACCTTGATTTATTTTATCTAAAGGATATTGGCCGATCAAACAAATCCTTTGAAAAATCAGATGCCAAATTTGACAATGTTGTCGTGTTTAGAATGGAAAGTACCATTAGAAATAGCTATTAGTGCATTGAGGGTCCAGATCTTTCTTAAATTATTCTTTGCTTTAGTTTTCTAGATAACAATAATGATATGCATCTCCAAGAAAAGAATACTTTATATACTAAATTGATAATTAGGCAGCACGTGTCAGTATAAGAGAGGTTGAGAGCGGACCTAAATGATACTTGAAAGAATTTTTGTTTTCTTTTTTCATTTTTCAAACTTTAGGGAGGGGTACTACAAGTCTACAACGGATAAATTTCTATGCCGACTTTAATCCCGAAATAGACCTAACAAGGGAAAATGAAACAAAAGAGTTAATAAATCGATCTCAGTTAGGTCAGTCCTCCACTTTATATTGTTTGTTAACAGTCAATTTTGAACACCAATCACCATCACCCTGCGCTATATTATTGTTCTTTGCTGCCATGCTATGTTATACTATAACGAAGTAACGAACTTCAGCAAATCTAAAAAGTTCTGTTCAGTTGAATAGAAGTTGGGCTTATTTTACATTCAATCTAAATTAATTGTTCAAGAGCTAAAACCTGATTTCATATTTTTCGGTTTTTACCTTTTAGTCAGTGAAAAGGAATAATTTGGTAAACAATTATTTTACAATTGCGGAACCATCATATAGAAGCTAAAGGGTAGGGCTTCAATGAACGTCGGACTGGATCTGGAAAGCCCATGTGAGATGACTGTGTTGTGGGTCTCGGATGGCCCAAATGCTAAATACAAGTATACAATTAATATACTGCATCGTATAATCCCTGATGCAAGATTCTACAAAGTAGGAGGACAAAAATAGAAAATGGAAAAAAGAAAAAGAACATTCCAAAATAGTTATGCACGTGGTAAAGGGATGAGCCGAAACTGATTAAATTCATAACTCTGCCCATAAGGGCCAACTCAGTGCTGCAGGCAAAAAAAAAAAGACGGTTGATCATAATCTCAGGGAGGAGTAATCTTGCACCTGCAGTTGCACAATTAGCAGAGGAAAACAATAAATTTGAAATTTCATACGCATGACGTCGTTTCAGAACATCAAAGAGTAATTTTAACACATGGAAAAAACTGTAGTCTCCAGTTGGGCAATTTAAAAACTTTTAGATAGCAAAAGGCATAATTGTACCTTCAATCAATAATTATAGGATTGTTGTATCTTCTCCTTTTCCTTGCTTTTCTCAAAATCCGGTCAGTCTCTTCCTTCACATCCTGTATCAACTCGGTTCCTATGTCTTTAAAGGAAAACTGGTCCAGTTAGATTGCAATCCAGCGATTATTAAGTACGGAAACCAAATATGTCATACAAAAAAAGTCTGACAACAATAGAGTAAGGCAAATAAAAAAGGATAACAAACTTCACATTCAATTATGAACTAGGTGAAAGAAAGATAAAATACGAAAAGATCATCTTCAAAATAGACATCTTCCATTTTCTTTTTCGGTAGGTAGTATTATATTATATTAGATGGATAATCACCTTTCTAGATAACAATTGCGTTCTGTACCTTTTGCCCTTATGAATAACTTCAGAGGATGTAATATTGTCAGTCATATAGTAATTCAGAGGAGGTACCTGTTCCCTTCTCGTTAATCAAGCAGGAAAAGCCTCCATCAATCTCCTCATCTGAATCAATGATGATTCTACATTCTTTTGCCTGCATCACAGACTTTCCGTCTCAAATAGACTATAAAACTTACATGTTCACATAAGGTAAAAGACCAACCTTCACTATCAAGTGCATTACGAAATGTCAGTCACAACTCCTAATAACAGAATGCACCAAGATACTATTACCAGAAACACGCTGCTGTTCTGAGCAACAAAGGGATAAGGGAGAAATAGAAACTAAGCATTACCTGTACGGATGAAGAAACTTTTTTCTTTTTGTGATTCTCGCTGGAGACCTTCTCTTTCATAAGCCGTTCCTTTTTTACAGACTTCCAACCTCCCATTTCTACCTTTGGGACTTGAATTGCTTGCACAGAGACCTCTGGAGGCACAATTGAACTGAAATCAAGAGAAGCTTTTAGGTTTCTCAACATTCTAGACAACCAGAACAATGGGAACAAAGGAACAGCAGAATAAATTTCTTCAGCGGTTGTTCAAGATAACACCAGCTGGGAACAAGATGATAACAAGTTTGACATGTTACTAGCAATGATATCAAAGAGATGCCAAAACCAAATTGGTTTAGATACATGGAAACATAAGATGGCTTTATTAACAAAAGAGTTGGCTAGGATAAACTGACATGTCCAATCATGACAATATCTTTGCCACTCTGTGTTATTACCCTAAAACAACATGAACAAAAACAGAAGCTGCCATGGAGTACAATCTTAGAAATTTGCTGTTGCGTGGTTGCCTTGCTCACCACTAAACATTGGCAAGTTCCACAAATGCACAGTTAAGTTGCTAGTTCCTTCGTACATTAATTTTAGAGCAAAAATTCTTTAAATTCCTTATGTTCTGCTTTTGGAAATAATTAAAGACTCTTCTAAATGATAATGGCTTCTGAAATTTAGCAGCACAATAAGTAAAATAATAAATTTGAGTTTTACATACTTCTTAAGGGGCTTTGGCTTTCTCTGCGAAATAGCGCGACGCACAGTAACCTACAGATTCTCAAATTTGAAAAGCCTTCTAAGAATTATGTGTTTAGAATAAACAAGGGCTCAAAAAAGTTAACGTTTCTTTCACTTATAAGTATAAAGCACCTTTTGAGCAGGGACAATGGCCATTTGACATTTTTTATTGGGATTCTTCAAGCTCGCAGCCAGTGCCTGCCATAGTCAAATGATGAATTAGAAAGCTTTCACTAAAAAGTGTTAATCGAAAGAATTTTTTAGTGAGAAGTGTAAAACACCTTTGGTGAAAGAATATTGGCCAATTCACACTTTTGGTTAGGGCTCTTCAGGCTGCTGCAAGCCAATGCCTACAAGAGTGAAATAAGGAGTGAGAATGCATTTAACCATGCAAGTAATTAAAACAAACAGTCTACCATATTAACTTTAAACGACTGGACATAGGAAAAAGTGAGATTATTTCCACTTGCCATTTAATTTTATAGAAATTCCTAAGAATCTTAAAAAAAATTTCAGAACTTCTCATTGTAGCATCATACATGCCTGCATTTTTTTGGCCAATAAGTTGCTGAGTTTGTTTTGTAATTTCAGTAGAGATGCTTCTGTTTGCACTGGAAAGGTGGAAAGCACCAACAAAATCTCTTTCAACTTCTCTTCATGTGCATCCTTCCCCAATTGATCAGACAAAGATTTCAGACCCCCATCAAGGCTAGCTTTGATATCTTCATTTCCCTTTTTCTGGTTCACCACATCTCAATTGTGTTAAAAGTTTACAAGCATTAATACTACAAATAAAATTCATTTTAAGAATAAAAATAAACAGGGCCAGAAAGATTATTTTTACCATTAGCTGCTGCAATGAAATATCATGAGCAACCAACTTTTGGGAAATGCCTTCCACTGAAAAAAGTTGGGGAAATATGTTATCTAAATCGACATATGATACAAAAATCTTAAGGTTGCAGGAGATATCAAATGACAGATTATTTTAAAATAAGTGTCATTTTTACAAAAATATCCGGTTTAGTTGTTGTCTAAACAAATAGATCTGTTAGAAATTAAAAAAATTTCATCCAACTACTTTTCGGTTTCCATGTTCCTAATTCATAGACTTACAACAAAATTTGTATAGATAAGAACTATATCACAATAATCACAGGAGCATATATCTTAAGGAATTGGACTACTCACCCTCCAACATTACTTCTTTTGTTCCTTTATTCACTTGAATGACATCACTCTGAATAGAATCCAATATCATTCCGAACCTATTTAATGAAGTTTCCATCATCCCAATTCGACGTTCAAGTTCTTCACTAATCTGACCTGCTCTCAAGAAATAAGAAAATAAAAGAAAAAAGATTTAGTTTTTCACACCATGATATAACCATACATGAAGCTATATATATCATTGCCTTATATTTGTACATATGTGAGAGAACCAAAGCACCTCACAAAATGTCAAAAGCACTTTTTTCTTCCCACTAAAAAGGACTAAACTTACATCTCTGATCAGAAGCAGAAGTAGGATTCCATTTGCGTATTAGATTCGTGGAAGATCTTGAAATTGGCATTTGACTCTCTTCTCGTGGATAACTATGTTGGGGTACGCAAGGCACCTTCTTCATAGTGTTTTCACGTTCTTGAGAACATACTCTCTACAAAGACGGTGAACAAAAGTTACAAAACCAATCACAAGCCCAATAAAACTTCAGTTGTTGTAATAAAACCTGAATAACAAGGAAGAAAGAGATTCAACCTGATCATTTGTCAGAACTTCGTCGAGAGAGGATTGAGAAAGCTGGGAAAACATGCCCTGTTGAGATGAGAGTCCCTGTGAAAAGGATTGCTGTGATGGCTGGGATCGAAACTGCTGAGCATGCAGTCCAGTTGGCGTAGCACTTGATCTCCTTCACATTCAGAAAACAAATAGTAAAATGAAAAGAAAGAAAGGAGATTGCTCTTTCTCTCTCTCTCTCCTCCAATTTAAAAGCTCTAGTTCCATGCTTCAATAAACGGAATAAAATTTGTCAAATTAGCCTAAAGAATGGATTCGACTATTTCCTCGAGTCCTAAATTACAAAATCTTAAAAAGTTGATTTCTTATGTCCTCCTATTTTAAAGAAGCCAACAGAATCATTTAATGAAACTGAGACACGATCAAGTTTGCACAAATATAAGAAGAACTATAAATCAAAAACTGAAATGAGTTTGAATATTTATTTTCCTTTGTTTGGATGGAGAGAAAATGGTAAAACCTAATCCGAACTGATTTCATAATATAATTTGAAGCTCAGTGGATCAATCTTCTTTTCCCTAAATTCTAGCTTATAAAATTTATTAAAATTCGAAAAAAAAACTTTAGAATCTCTTGATCGCATATAAGTTCTTAGCAACCAAACAGAGATACATTGAGGATAATTAAGAAGGCCATAAACATGAGATGAATCACAGAGATAAGTAACTCAAATCAGTAATTTACTCATGATATAGATAAGCTGTTGAGAAAATACAGATTAATATAACTAAGCTGTGGTGAATGATATTTCTAAGATTCAGAATTTTTTATTTTCTCTAAAACTGATCAGGTCCTCGTGAAAAGTAACAAACCGTTTCATGATTTAATCTCCTTCAAATCTTTACGAAGACAATAAAAAACGAATTGAAAGATTTTTTCCTTCGGTTCGGCTTCTGAGAAAAAACAGGAGTATAGTTTAAAAAATTTAAACATTCGGTTTTCAAACTATTTGCAAGGCTAAGCTCATCCAAGTCAAAATAGTAAAATATACAGAGGGAATATGTCCTATAAATTCGTTCATTAAAGACATAAAATTAACGCTTTCACCACATGTCTTGAATTTTCTTGAGAAACAAACAGGCAGAGAAGGAAATTAGAATAAACCAAACCTTGCGTGAGGAGGAAAGACAGAGATGGAGCTGAGATCACAGGCTTTGTTGATCTTCAATTTCATTTCCAAATAATCGAAACCCTAGGTGATTACCAAATAGATCAGCTCGGTGATTTAAACTCAACAGACCTATTTAGAGAGACAGTTAAGAGTACGGAGCAAACCGATTGAGGGTTTTTAAATATAGAGCATGGCGGGAGAAGTGGCAAGTAGTCTCAGAGATATATATAAGGCCGAATAACATTTTGTCCCCCAAACCAGTGTGAAACAAATTTTTTCCCTTGGTTCCGGAAACACTCAATATCACCCCCAACATCAGTCCCCTTTCAACCAATTTTTATTTTGACCACCTTTGACCGTTAAAATACAATTTTTACCCTTTATTATCCATTATCAGTAAAACAAAAGAAATCCCAAACTAATCTAAAATTAAATTAATAGAAGTACTATCTCTTCCCCTCACCCTTCTATCCATAAACCAATCAAATAAAACCTAACCCAAAATCCAATTCCCACCTACATACCAAACTACTTTACTACACCCACAACCAGTGGCGGACCCAGGATTTTTGTCTAGGGGAGCCCCTCGCTTCGCCACTATTTGCCAATTAACTAGTGAAAACATAAGAAAATAACATTCAATTCACAAAGAAACACAAGAAAATTATTACGTGGAAAAACCTCTTCAATGTGAAGAGATAAAAAAACCACGGGAATCTAACGATCCACTTAAATCCAATATAATCAAAAGAGTTAACTGATGCGTATTTTTGACAAAAATGCAAATGTAACAAGTGCACTAGTCGCAAAAAGTAATAAAGTGATAAATAGAGTATCGTTCCCATAAGGATAGTGTTACTAAGTACCGATTTTTCTAGTTTAAGTCCTAATTGAAGCAACAATAAATTAGATTGATGAAAAATTAACTAACTAAATACAATTTGAGAAAATATAAATGAATGATAATGAAATTAAAGCAAAACCCAACAACTTAAATAATTAAACAAAATGCTAAAAAAAATGCTAAGGTGTTGATTTCACCTAGATACGCTAACCCAAATCATAGAATCTATTACCCAAGTTCTAATTCCTTGATTGAAAATCGAATTCCTTAAGTTGTAAAACATACCTTCTCAGACTATATTTTCTTACTTATCCCTATTAAGCTTCCGCACCCAACAAAATGAAGATTAATAGTTCAAAGTCTTTTACGCTTTATGGAATTCTATATAGATTTCATAAATCGCTAAACCTATCTCTAGCGTTTGTTTAATCTACGGTATTTATCCCAAGAGGCACAATCACAAATCACTTCTCAGTCTCATTGTGAGCAACACACATTTGAATGGTGATCAAACATCCAAAAGTCATTAAGCAAAGAGATAAACACTCAATCATGAAATTAAAACTCAAAGTAAATCAATTCATATAAATTTGAATAATTGTATCAAGGTTACATCAAACCCTAGCTAAACAACTCAATTCATACTCAAAAACAAAATAAAATAACAAAAACAAACTGAATCAAGATTCATCATTGAAAAACAAGCAAAAGATGGAGAAATTTTCTCTAATTTGAAGCCCAAATCTTCAATAATCTTCTCCTTCTAAGAGTTGCATTCCAAATGACGAACCAAGACCCTTTTTCTTTCATTTGCATGCTAATTTATACCTCTTTCACTTAAGAACCAAGCCCTAGCAAGCCAAAACGCATCGTTTTATTTTTCACATCTGACGCAGTTTCGCCGCGGCGAAGCTTTTTCCTTACTACAGCGAAAATCTTTCGGGCCAAATTTGACCATGAAAGAGTCTTAATATGGAAAAGTGTTAAACATATGAATTGTAGCCCTTTAAATTATATTTCTAGTCGTTAAAGAATCAGCGCAATCCGAGGTCTATAGCTCAAGTTATGGCAGAAATACTGAAGCACATCCAAAGACGTTTTTCTTCGGTTTCTAACATACTATTCACGACTTCAAGCCAAGTTTTCACCCTTGTCCAGTCAGAATTATGAAAAACCAAAAACATGAAAGTTGTAGCTCTGCTTCTTAGCTTTCCAAAGCTTCTAAAATCAGGTTATTCTGAGTTTCCAAGCTCAAGTTATGCTATTTACGCTCAAAACTATCATTTATGCTCAAAATCATCGTTTAGGCTTATAAAGATAAATTAATAGAATTATGTAGCAATTATGGCCCAAATAGTATGAGAAGTATCCTAAATCCTATTGAAATTTAATGCAAAATCATAGGAAAAAATAGGATTATTATTTATAACAACCACAAATCCACCAAAAATATTCTATACAAATTTAGAGCTCAATCACAACTCTAACAAAAGTAAAATACACAAAGGTTTACAAAAATATGGATTACAATCACTCCAAATCCAGATCCGCATGTAAAAGGGAAGTTGGGAATTGGGTTAGAAAAACTGAATATAAAAAAGACAAAACCTAACTTTTTAATTTTTTAACTTTTAACTTTTTTTTTTTTTTTACCTTTTAAAAAAACTTTTCAAATTTTCTTTTAAAGTTGAGGGCAGGCCTGGGCCTACCTTCAAGGGGCCTGGGTCCACCCCTGCCCACAACCACCAACAAAAAAGACATACGCCAAACTATTTACAACGATGAAACCGATCACAAACTGAGATTGTTATGGAGGGAGAGATTGGTTGCGTAACCAAAACACCCAATCTCATAACAAACCTTAATCCCACCCCAAATCAACCTAGGTTGAATTTATTGTTTGTACAATGATATATGTTGTATAGGATGGGAACACCCTTGAATTTTAAAAATGAGGGTGATATTGAATGTTTCTGAAACCGAGGGGTGCAAAATGTGATAGTTTGAGGGTCAACATACTCCGCTAAATATAATCATAATCGGGTTTGGATTCGGCTGTGGATCTCTCAGAGTATTTCTTTCTGAGATATTGTTCAGAGCCAGAAGCTCAGAAAGCCCAATTGTAATTTTATTTAAAGGCGACGGCCCAGAACTTGTAAATTTCCAAAAAGAAGCTTCCGATACCATCATTTTGAACCTAATCTGCCATGGTATTCCTACAATAAACGACATAGTTTATTATCAAATTAAATATAAGATCTGTAAAGATTTATGGTTAAGTCCTACTGTATGATAACTTGATAATCAAAACCAACCAATATAATTTATAACCATTATTGACCAGACTCACCCACGTGATACTCTTAGACAGCTTGCAACACGACACATCAAAGCAACATTTAATTAACTTACTATGGATTATTTATTATAAGAAAAAATTAGATGGTGTTATGATCTCTTAGCTAATTTTCTTCAAATAATGTACTGAAAACAACAACAACCATTAGTTTTTTAAGTCCAAACTTCACCTAACCGTAATGTTTGATTCCGAATAATAATGCCATGTTTACTACGTTAACAAACAAAAGCATTGTAGAATTTGTATTGGTTAATATGTTGATTAGTCAACAGCATAATGTGGGACTCTGTTTACTAAAAATGACGTTTGATTAGTCATAATCATTATATTTAATAGGAGTAACAATGTCATTTTCAGATAACTTAATAAGATCGATTTAGGTTGAGGACATTCAAAGTGAGCTTGTGTAACCAAAAAAAAAGGAGTAATTGCTCATTATTGATTTTACGTACCACTTTTACTGATTCATTCAAGTCTTTGCGGTAAATCAAAACCGCGCCGTGGCATTTTTAATTACTTTGCTAAATTTTAGCCGATCTTGCTACCTGTACATTCATTACAGGATATTCCTCTCTTTAAACGGGTATAAAAATACGCTGTCTGACAATCCAAAGATAAATTGATTATTGATATTGACTTGCCCAGAATCCCCTCTTATTGTAAGAATAATGTATCATTCACCACTAAAGACGCAGAGACAATCCAACCCAAATTTTTTATTTTAATGTTGGTCATCTGACCGCTAACCAGTAAAATTTTCTCCTGCTGCTTGTCGTTGTGTTTTTTTTTAGATAATCGAAAGTGTTTAAAGTCAACTTACGAGTATTACAATTAATCTCTTAGTGGAGTAAGAGTTTTAATGGTCATCTGTTCTCTTGACTAATAAATTTAAAATTTTTATCTAATCACTTGACCAGCTAGTGATAGATTACTGCTGATTGTTTAAGCTTAAGCAAAGAGTGAAAAATTTTAAGATTTAAACTTAATATTAAAAAAAATATAATGTAAAACGTGTTAGAGCTTAAAAAGATTGATACAGAACTGAATTACCAAATTAGCGTGTATTATTTATAATACCAATACATTATAACAGTTATCCGAAACCAAAGATACGATGGATTCTAAATCTTACCCGTTCCTTGAAACAATTTTAGTAGAAGATACAGAAACGGTGTAATTGTCAGTCGGTAAAATCAATCAAATTGAACCAAGGACTTTTAGCACACAACGGTTATTTAGAGAGAATCAAATTATTCAAAGCAGCATATGCCTCGGGTCTTTGGCCCAGCCACTCTCCGTACAGGTTGACTTTACAGTCTGAAGATGAAGAGCAGATATATTGGAATTTAAAATCAATCTTGGATTTTAGTTAAATTTATATAAATATTATTGATAATTAAAATTCAATTATAATTTATTGGCGTAAGTACATTAGAAAGTAAGAAAGAAAGGGGAATAATATGAGTCCTCGCGTTTACTGTTGATAAAAAAGGCAGTACGAAAAGAAAATTGATGATAAGCTTAGTGGAGCCCAGTGGAAATTCAGAGAAGCTTCGTCTTGAAGTAAGGGAAACAAACAACGAGGTAGAGAGTTAAGGTTGAGACAAAGAGGGAGAACTTTCAGAGTTCTAAGACTATGAGAAATGAGAATGGATCCCACCAGGAAATTTTCTTTTTGTTTTTTCTAAGGTAATTTCATAAACATTTCCCAAAAATGTTGTAGTCTCACCATTTGTTTTTACAATATTCATTTCTGCCAAAGACAAGCCATGCCTTTGATATCCAATCATACATACAACGACTCTTCATAAACAAAGCGTCTTTGAGTTTTTGTTCCTCTAAAAAATATCGCTTTACTTTGAAAGTAAAGACTTTCAGGATTTGGTTCTTTGAACGGGAGGAAAGCAGAAGTTTTAGAGAGAGAAAGAGAATGAAATGATTTTGATTCGATTCAAAGTTGAGTCTGAGTTTTAGAAACAGAAAGTTGAATTGGGTAGTGTCAAATTGTACTGATTAAATTCTTTGATATTAATCATGGCTATAGTGAGTCATGTACCAGCAATGACACAAAAGATGGATCCAAAAAGGTATCGTGACATTGGGGTGCCAGAAATCATGTCAATCGGAAGAGAGATCGTCAAGGAACCGGTGGCACGTTTAATTGAAGATAAGATTTATGTTGCTGTGGGCAAACAAGTGAAAGAAAGCAAACTAGTTCTGTTATGGGCTTTACAGAACTCAAGAGGAAAGAGAATTTGCATAATTCATGTTCACCAACCCGCCCAAAAGATTCCAGTTAGTAAGTTCATAATTTATCTTTGTTGAGTATCCATTTCTTCTTAAGTTCTTAGGTTTAAGTGGAAACTGCGTAATGATGTGTGATTTATCAATTCATTTCGCATCTCTCAATATTATAATTTAATGAATTTGGCTGAAATAAAAATAAACGGAAATTCTAGTAGCAATTTTTGATTAAATTGTAATAAAAGCGAAACAGATCTGTAGTTCCAAAGTATCCAGAAAGGTAAACAGAGCAAATTCCTAAACTGGGTTTACATGGTGTTCATTGCTAATTGTTTTTGCTTCATTATGCAGTGGGACTAGGTACAAAGCTTCCGGCAAGCTCAGTTAGTGAACAGGAAGTTCGGACATACAGGGAATTTGAAAGGCAAGAGATGCATAAGAACCTGGATGAGTACCTTCTGATCTGTCAAAGAATGGGGGTATGACTTCTTTTTCTTTGTCTTCCATTACCCCTGTGCTGTTTAATTTAATGGGTCTTCCAAATGTGAAATACTGGGTTTTCTTAAGCTGAGTAGAAGTTATGAAGAGCTGTCTAAGAGAATATATATCTAACAGCTTCATGCATAGTAAGTTAGGAATACATAAGTGCTATTTCTTTTGGCTGAAAACTAGCACACCGAATTGACCAACAGCTGACTCTTTAGACTTACATTGGCTTTCATAAAAATTTGCATTTTAGGTGCGGGCAGAAAAGCTACTTATTGAAATGGACTCTATCGAGAAGGGATTAGTTCAGTTTATCTTGCAGTATGGGATCAAGAAGCTTGTAATGGGAGCAGCAGCAGACAAACACTATAAGAAGTAGAAACCAGTGATGGCTTTTAATTTATTATATTCATCTTAATCCTTAGTTCAATAACATTCATGTAGACCTCCAGGGGGAGCACTTTCAGAATTCCTCTGGATATAAAGTGCAAATATAGGATGGCTTACCTTAATGCTTTAACATTGCAGGAAAATGGTGGACCTCAAGTCTAAGAAGGCCATCTCCATGCGCCTACGGGCACCTGCTTCTTGTCACATATGGTTTATTTGCAATGGGAACCTTATCCACAAAAGGTATGGTTTACATGTTTATAAACATAGTTTTTAAATTGCAGCTGAATCTCTGGTGATTTTGGAATTTTTTAAGAAGAAAAAGAAAAAGAAAAAAGAAAAAAAGAAAAAAAAAAGAAGAAGAAGAAAATCTCTCTCATATTGAAGCTCCTGAGCTTTTTGAACAACTGTATGGGCAATGGACTGCCTACATATGGCTACAGAATTCTTAATAAATGATTTATTGAACAGATGTACTCTTGAATGCTCTGGAATCTATTCTTGTTATCAATGCCTTAGTTTTAAACCTTACATGATTTTGATGATATGACTGGTAATGCAAATACCATATTGAAATAGGGAGGGCAGTTTAGATGGAACTGATCTAGCTGTTAGATCTTTATCACTGCAAACAAGTCCAAACATTGGAACTGGACACCCACAGCACCTGAGATCACAATCTGTTACACTGGGCCATAGTAGCCAAGCTAAACTCACCAATCCAGTTCAAGATTTTCTGAGAAGAGTGACATCTATGACTCTGGATGGGAATGGGGGTAATGTACCAGATGACACCGGAGGGCTGTCCACTCCAGGGAGCAGCTCTGTGGCAGAAGGGATTTTTGATGAATGGGAGGGGATACCTAGGGGGAGTCATTCTCAGGAGTCAGTTCGCTCTTCATGCTCTTCCAGGGGAGGGAATGATATTCCACTGACTCCACTTAGGCGAACCGAGAGGAACAAGAATGACTTCCAGTTTAGCACACTACATGAGCCCAAAGATTTTCATAATTCATCTCCTCCAAGTGTACTGGTATGTGCAAAATTCTCATCAATGCAGATCTATGCCATACAGCTTTGACAATTTCTAATGTCTATTTATCTTTCTCTTCATATCTTTCTCTTTAGCATGGATGAGCTAAGATTGATTGACAAATCTGAGCATTTCGTTTTAAATCAATAAAACGGTCTTAAAATGGTTGATTGATGGTAGCAGGATGGAAGTGTTGATGATACTCTCTATGATCATCTTGAACAAGCAATGGCAGAGGCTGAAAATTCAAGGCGAGAAGCATTTGCAGAGGCAGTCAGGCGTGGGAAGGCTGAAAAAGATGCCATTGAGGCTATTCGCAGGGTAAAATATTAGTTGTGAAGTATAATGCAACACATGTTTATATATTTATTGGACGGAGAAATTTATTAATGAAAGGAGATGCTTTTTATTTTTTACAAAGTACAATGTTCAATATACCATACAAATGAAGCTTGATGCATCTCTTACCTGTTACCTGATTACCAAATCGATGGGAGAATGAGTGTAAATGCATGTTGCTTTCTTCCTGATCAATTTTGTTTACTCTCTCTATCGGTCTCTGGTGGGAAATTCTAGACATTAAGATCTTGTTTTGTTATGTTTGCAGAAGACTAGTTATGTTTGTAAAATTATCCAAGTAAACCTCGAAAGTTTATGTTTCCTTATGCATATTGCCAATTGTGGCTGCCAATTCACAGGCTAAAGCATCTGAAAGTTTGTATGCTGAGGCGTTGAAACAAAGGAAAGAAGTTGAGGAAGCACTAGCAAAGGCAAAGCTGGAACTTGAAAGGATGAGGAAACAGCAAGATGAAGTCAATGAAGAACTTCAAATTTCCCTGAATCAGAAATCATTGCTGGAGAGTCAGATTGCAGAATCTGATCAGATGGTAAAGGAGTTGGAGCAGAAAATCATCTCAGCTGTTGAACTTCTACAAAATTACAAGAAAGAACGTGATGAGTTGCAGATTGAGCGTGATAATGCTCTCAAAGAAGCTGAGGAGCTGAGGAGAAGTCGAAAGGAGGCCTCAAGCAGCACACATCAACCTCAGTTCTTCTCTGAATTCTCGTTCTCAGAGATTGAGGAAGCAACTCATAACTTTGATCTATCCCTGAAGATTGGAGAAGGGGGATATGGAAGCATATATAAAGGTATCTTGCGCCACACCCATGTGGCTATAAAGATGCTGCACTCTCATAGCTTACAAGGCCCCTCAGAATTTCAACAGGAGGTAAGATCCCTTAATGCTATGTATTTCCATTCAATTCGGTTTGAATCATTAATCTGATGACCTGTGGTATTCAGTTATTATTCAAGCTTAGAGTTAAGAATCTGCTTCATGAACAATATATTCATCATAGCTTTTATATGTCTGGCAATTAAATTCTACTAGGTTAGAAACATGTCTCATTGGTATTTATTTACGGGAAGTGTTGAGGGCACATGTTAAACTCTCCACTCCCTGTATGAGTTGGTTGAAGTTTATTTATTACTCGAACATAGGATGTTGTGAGAAACTAGAAGTTAAAAATATAGCTAATCTATACATGTAACAAATAGTTGTAAATATATTTCCCTTCTATGGGAAACAGAAAAAGGAATATAATCTCTTCCAGAAAAAAGGAGAAAACATATGAAAAGAAAGAAATTGAATTTGATAACAACTTAAGCATCATATGACATACATCATTTTTATATCAGGTTGATGTTTTGAGTAAGATGAGGCACCCAAATCTTGTTACACTTATTGGAGCCTGTCCGGAGGCATGGACACTTGTATATGAATATCTATGCAATGGAAGCCTTGAAGACCGACTCAGCTGAAGGGATAATTCTCCCCCTTTATCTTGGCAAACTCGAATACGCATTGGCACTGAGTTATGCTCTGTTCTTATATTTCTCCACTCTTGTAAACCTCACAGCATTGTTCACGGTGATCTAAAACCAGCCAATATTCTCCTTGATGCTAAGTTTGTGAGCAAGCTTAGTGACTTTGGAATCTGTCGCTTACTTTCTCATGATGAACTTTCAAGCAATAACACAACGCCATGTTGCAGAACCGACCCTAAGGGCACATTTGCATACATGGATCCTGAGTTTCTTGCTACAGGAGAACTTACTCCAATGTCAGATGTTTACTCATTCGGAATTATTTTATTGCGATTGCTAACTGGAAGACCTGCCTTGGGGATAACAAAGGAAGTTCAGTATGCATTGGATACAGGAAAGTTGAAAACGCTCTTGGATCCTTTGGCTGGAGATTGGCCATTTGTCCAAGCAGAGCAGTTGGCCAACTTGGCATTGAGATGTTGTGAGATGAATCGAAAAAGCCGGCCAGACCTTGAAACAGATGTATGGAGGGTACTTGAACCCATGAGGGCTTCATGTGGAGGGTCATTATTCAGAGTGGGTTCTGAAGAGCATTGCCAACCTCCTCCATATTTTATTTGTCCCATTTTCCAGGTAAAGGTCATTTGTTCCTTTAAACTCTGTTTGTATCTCTTACAGTAGCCTATGAGTGGTGACTAATTTTATCATTGAATTTTATGCGAATTATTTATTCATTTAGGCGTAGCAATCCCACTAAGAATCGAGTACAAACATCTCAATACCTAATTTACGATTTTAATTCTCACATTACATTTCATCTGCATCCTGATTTGCAACATAATGTCCCCTCTGCAACGAAACTAGAAAACAGGAAAACAGAAATAGAAACCTGTGATTAATATTTCCTGACAACTCTTAGGCCTATGAACTTTCATTGTGGTGTGATTTAATTGTTCCTTTTGTTTGCCTAAAACTTTCAGGAAGTCATGCAAGATCCACATGTGGCAGCTGACGGTTTTACGTATGAGGCAGAGGCCGTGAGAGGATGGTTAGACAGCGGCCATGACACTTCGCCAATGACAAACCTGGCACTTGCCCACAAAAATCTTGTCCCCAACCTCGCTCTTCGATCTGCAATTCAGGAGTGGCTGCAACAGAATTGAACAACTTATATTTTAGTTCTACATATACTCCATAGTAGACTTCTGAGTTAAAAGAAAAAAAAAAAATGAAAACAAAACTACATTATCATCCATATATTGTTTGGAAATGCTCCCATAATATTCTCATCCCATTGTATAGTCAGCCTTGAATATGTGTATTTGTTCTCTTTCTCTCTCTATATATAATCCCCTTCCAAACATTATATACAAAATATTTTATAAACGCTATGTTGAGAAGCAGGAGGTCGTCGTGTACATTGAAGTGCAGCAGTATTTTTGTCGACTTTTGTAATTAAGTTGTAGCTGAAGCCTCAACCTGGAATACTATTAATATAATTGTTTTTCATCGGATTAATGTGTTTTGGTCTCATTAATGGCTTCGTTCTCTAATAAGATAATTGGAGACCCAATTTTAGTTAAATATAATTGATTCGATCAGGTTACTATTTCCATGATGTATATTAATCGGTTTTGATTGATATTTAATTAAAGAATGTGTAGAGAGATGTTCTTACCTCACCCTCCATTACCATATTTCATGTTCTCTTAAAGCCAAGACCATATTTTCGATGCCGCAAATTTCATGTAGAGCCTTTTAGGCTTAAACCAAATTCCAACCCACAAAGTCAAACGCCCAAAGAGAAACCATAACAACAATTAACACATCATTAAACCTTTATCTGGTAAAAATCCTTTGCTCAATATTCATATGATGCTAAAAATTCTTTGCCCAATATTCACATGATGTTGAAGCTTGGTTGTTTGTGATACATGCTATTTGCTCTAGCTGTAATTTGACAGCCCATTGGATTGTTTGTGTCATATACTTGAAATGCAGAGCATAATAATTGACCATATAATTGATTATATGGTTTAAGGCTTGTATTAAATAATGTAGGTTTTATAATAATATAATATTAACACTATATATGCACAAAATGTAGACAACCAATATCATAATTATCTCAACCTTACATAAAAGTTGTGGGTTAACTAAGTCATGAATTAGTCAAATTATAGGTAATTAACAAAGAGAATTTAGTTAAAGAGGATGACAAATTTCTTAGTTGTCCCATCCAAAATAAATGATAGGTGATACTATTAACAAAGCAAAGAAAACATAATGGCAGTTATTTGAAGAGAACGGTGAAAATTGCAAATTGGGTAACCATAATTGGCAATTTGACCCTAACCCATAAAACCTTAGCTTCCAATTAGTTGTTATGTAACTCCCCTCTTTCTCCTTTGCTTTATTTGCACTTGCATTTACTCTATTCAACATTCCAACTTAATGTACCAAATCTTTCACCTTTCTTCATTGCTTTGATTAATATCAGAAGGCCTCTTTTTTAGGTATGTTTTTGCAATCTTTTCTTTCTCATTCTTTCATTTTAAGTAAGTCCCATTTCTTCTAGGTTTATTTTATTTTCAACATGTGAGATTGTTTAGTGTTAAACCATCAACTTCATTGGAAAGTACGAAAGACACACTAACCAACAATGGGTTGGCCCAGTGTAAAGCTTGGGGTCAGAGGTTTGCTTCCTTGTGGTTTCAGGTTTGAATTACAGAAGGTTGTTAATATGTTGGCCACGGACCAAGGACTTACCTTGTTTCGGAAGCCTTGTTCAGGGTCAGGGGACTAATTGAGGTACGCGTAAACTGACCCACACCCTAGGTAACCCAAAAAAAAAAGTATGAAAGAACACTCTTATTAGAGGTTTTTTCATTTCATATAATATTAAAGTGGTGTTTGATATTTTTAAAGGGGTTTTAGTTTTTTAAGGGGGGTTTTTGATAATTATGGGGGAAATAAAATAAACCCTTTCATTCTATTGTATTTTTAATTTCAAGATTAGAATTGCTGAAGATTCAGTAGAATTGAACCCATTTGGCCACCCACCATGTGTTTGTTAATTTGCTTATTTTTTGTTTATTTCATGGGGCAATTGAAAGGGAGTGTGGTGGGATAAAAAGGCTAAAGAGCCTAACCAAGCCTAATCTTGTTGGACTGAAAATCAACATCTCATCTGAATCAAAGCTTAAAGGTAAAAGCAATAGACTTTTAAACTAGCTTTTTGACAGGTAAGGTACAAATGACAGCAATACCAGCAAATAATGAACAAAATATCTGTGTTTCGAGCTTCAATGAGCAAAATTAGTGCCATTTGTTATATAACCCAATCTCTTATTTAGATACTAAATGCATTAAATCACGAAATAGTACAACACATGCTAGTTTCTACACCGCAAGTATGGGAGACGTAATCCTTAAAGGCCATGATTCAGTACTTTCATACAAGTTGCTTAGTCAATTAGGATAAGAATCACAGCAAAAATCATCTCTTTGACGTTTTTCTTCTCTTTTTCTTTCTGAAACCATTAAAATACATGTTTCATCGTCTTGACTGAAATTATGATAAGCTAAATATGGACATTACATGTTAGTTTCACTAAATAACAGCTCAACCATCACTTTCTCTAAAAGACTTCTTATACTATTTCTACCTTCCTTCTTTTTTTGGACTGAGTTAGGTATGGTCAAGCGAATAGCAGCTTATCCAAAGCATGTTTAATTATATAAATTGCCAGTTTGATGAAAAACAAAGCTATCAAAAGTACTAAATTACCATTTCGCAGCTGAAAAAGTCATTGCAGGTGAGGGCCTATCTGATTGGTACTGAGCTTTGTCTAATGAGATAATAATAAGCCATGGAAACTCCAGCAAGCCAAGGTGTAGCGGGTTGCAAACCGTTAACAACATTCGTGCAAACAGACTCCAATGCTTTCAGAGATGTCGTGCAGCGCTTAACAGGTCTGTCAAGAGTGAAGCAGGTACAAAAGAGGAGCAGCTCAAAGATAGCAGGCACAAAGCGGCAGACTTCTAAACTCCATGAGAGAAGGCACTACACAAGGCCCAAGCTTGAAATAGTCAAACCTCCAATCAATTTCAGACCTGGTTCATCTCCATCAAGATCAGGAAACTCCAGTCTTCTTCCAAGTCCTGTGGTACCCCATCTACCATTTTGTCAAAGCTGTCCATAGAGAAAGGAAACAAAAGAAGAACAAGCAAAGAGTGAATTGAATAGCCACGAAGAGAGAAAGCCATCAAAGAGAGGAGGTTTTATTTGCACCCTTCACCACGGTCTAAACCAGGATACACTGAACCAGAATTGCTTACCTTGTTCCCTCTAACATCTCCCAGGACAAGTGAGAGACCTTGATTTTGATAGAGCATCGCCTCCTATTACAACTTCATTTCCAGTAAAATACATATATAGGGTATATAGGAAAAGCAAGTTGATTTGTAACAAACCTCATTTGCTTTTCGTAATTGATTATCTTGTACCAGATATATACAATTTAGCAGCAGTTTGTGATGATGTATATTTTTTCCTCACCGCTGACATTATAGATGATGTATGTGAATATAACAAAAGGAAGGACAGAGCAAGGTTGCTTAAAACGACACAAGGAGAAAAAGTCTAGTGCTCAAATGGAGAATTTTGAGGCATCTATCTCGCTGTAGATCAATTCATCAATGTATGCTCAATTGTAGATATTTAGAATTTTTTTTTATGACCGGGGTGTCCGAACCAACTTGCGTTCTAATACGACCCCTATTAGAGAACTATCGATTGGGTAAGAGTTTCAAGGATCAAACCTACTGGGTATAGGAACTCGAACTCGGAGATCATGTTGATCCATATTCCAACTCAGAACCATATTGATTATTTTCGTGCTCTTTTGTCATCAAAGAGACTCGAACTTGGAAGACCATATTAGATCATCTTTTTAATTTTACCTCAGACCACTCAGTGGTGGTTCATATATCCTTCTTCTAAGGCTCAAGTCTTTGTATTTCTCATAAATCTACACTCAATATGTTATCCGACCAAAGTTTACCATAATATGCATAAATCCGTTTTTATCTCGCTGTTCCTCTACTGGAGATCATACTGGTAATGGTTTACAGAATATGCTTGGTTTTTATCATAATACTATTTGTTATGCACGGGAAAATAAAGAGCTGACTGGAAGGAGTCGCGTCGGGAGTAACCTGCCCCCGTCAGGACAATGTGCGCACGTCAGACCTGCGAATAAACATGGAGCTTACACGCGTCCGTCTCTCTGCAGCAAGTCATGCAAAGTCAGCTTGGAAAAAGGGAAACGGGACGTGAAGATGGATGACGTGCTGACAATCACACCAACCCTAGATTTATGATGATTACACGCTTCCATTCGATATAAATGTAGAAAACCTCACCATTAGGGGGTTGGTTCATTCATTATCCAGAGAAAACTCTCTCTCTTGTAAGAAGTAAGAGCAAAGTACTTTTATTAACTCTCTTGTACGTCGTCCGCTTAGCGACTGACCCACACCAACATCAATACAATCAGTGGACGTAGGATTTGCTACTTAGCATCCGAACCACTTAAAAAGCCTCTTTTCATTTATTTCTGTGAAAGGCATCCATTGTCACGAGCATAAAATTCATAAATAGTGTCACCCACGTGACAATTGGTTGGTGCGCAAGTCGAGCATCAACAATATATTTCTGGCTAATTAGATTATGTATATATAGAGTCGTATTTTTTCATTCTAAATAATTGATTTAATGTTGTGTTCGATTGCATATATGGAGCACTGGAGCTTTGACTTCTTCGCAAATACCATTTTACCCTCAATTGTCTCATACTTAATATATGAGTGTCGGAATATTATTATACAATAAAAAAGAAAGTAAGGAATATATACTATATATAAATTAATTCAACAAATCAAATAGATCTTATATACTTAGGTGTGTTTATTGGTCCAAATGGCGAATAACTTGAGAGACTCATCTACATTCGCATCTTGACAATGCAGTAATTAATTTTCAAACTTGTACCAAAGTATTTATCTTCTGCAAATTATACACTTTGGTTTTCATTTTCAGCCAAATGTATTTAATCCTGTAACTAGTTTGGCTCTTGAGTTTACGGTTTCATAATTGCAGTAAAGAGTGAAACAATGAGTGGTTCATCATCGCAAGCATCCAAGTGAAACTGTTTATGTTGCCGTGGGAAGGATGTTAATAAATGCAATCGACTCTGTTATGGGCATTACAAAATTTTCATGGGCACAAGTTTTGCATTCTTCATGTTCATCAGCTTGTCAGAGTTATCACTTTGAGTAAGTCCAGCAGCTCAATATATCTAAATGCTTAAGAGTTTTTTTTTTTTTTTTGTTTTTCTTAATACATTTGAAGATTCAGAACGAGTTAAGTATGTTTGGTTTTCCCTGTTTGATTTAGTCCGTGGAATTCTTCAGGGAGCAGGCTTGAGGAACATGGAACCAGGAACTTGAAAGGGAAACTGTGAAAAAGTTCCTGGATGATTACATTAATATATGTCACCATGCTGAGGTAACTCCATTATCTACTGGAGCCCCTTGAGTTACCATTTTACTATTTAATAAAAAATTATATGCATAGAGTCCTTGGTTTGAGGATTCCGTTTTCTGATAGGAGTTTTTCGAAAGAAATTTTAAATATTTCCTCTCATTTGACTTTAATTATATGTAATCTAAAAGATTGTTTTTTTTTTTTTTTACATTCCTTTAGGTGTACGCTGAAAAACTATATGTTGATGGTGATACTGGGAAGGAATCATTGAACTTGTCCATCAGCCTCTATCAAGAAGCTTGTTATGGGAGCAGCAGCGGACAAACCCTATGCGAGTAACAATTACTAGGACATTTATATTATTGTTTCTTGGCCTGTGTATGTGTCTATCTTTATTAAAATCTGGAGTTTTGATGGTGTTTTTATTTATATTTTATAAATTCAAGATATGGAGGTTTCTTGTGCTATAAAGATTCTTTGTGAAATGTCAACTACCTGGGCAAAGCATTTTATCATCAAGTAGAAAGAATTGGTTTGGTTAAGTTTCTTCAACTTAATATTTTTTTATCTCAAGATGTGAGCTGAACTATATGAGCCAAGTCAACTGAACGGCAATGTATTTCCTCTTATACACAGAGGATGTACATACATGATCCAACTGCCTTAACATTGCAGGGGTATGACATCCATCAAGTCTAGGAAAGCTATGTATGTGCACGAACACTTGCCTCTTTCCTGTCAATTTTGGTTTATCTGCGGCGGCCACCTCATACAATCAGGGTATGCTTGAAAATAAGTCCCTTTATGTTTTCCTGATTTTTGTGTCCTTAATTGAATGATAAGATCTTTATTTTTTAATGGAGTTCTATATCGGTATGGTGATAAAAGTGTTTCTGTAATTTTCCAGAGACGCTGAACATTTGTACTGCTGAACGATATAGTCCCTTTAAAATCTTGATATACAGTGCCGCTTGATTGTCGCTATTGTGATTGCTAATTGGGTTATCATATTTATAGGAGAGGCGGTGTGGTTGATATTTTTGGCAAAGAATATGCAACTTCAATCTCTGAAACTGGACTATCGAACCCAAGAAGTCGTTCAAGTTCATCTGATTTCACAGGCTCTTGTAGTGGAGAGGAAGGAGGTTTATCTTTTGATCCTCTTGCAATAATGGATATAAATCTCTGGGACCTGTCTCGATCTGATATGTTCAATGAGGCTACTGGGGTGCCGGTACATATCTTATGAACTAATACAGAGAAGCAATGTGCAAAAATTAATTTTTTATTTATACATTCATCTTTTATTAATTAAGTTGATTGGTGAATTGAAACTTGATCTGTTAACCATGTTGTCAAGGCTCATGATTTATGGTTTTTGACAGGAAGAAACAAGTGATAGTGAACTATTAGAGAAGCTTGGAAAGTCCCAGCCAGAGGTTGAAAAATTAAAAAGAGAAGTACATGAAGAGTCACGCAGGCGTGTTAAAGCTGAGAAAGCTACCATTGAAGCTAATCGCAAGGTAAAGTTTCTTGTTATCTAATGTAAAAATTAAGGCTATAAACCTCCCTACTTCTCGTCTTTCTCGTCCTCAACTGGGCCATTTTTCATAAATCTAAATTAATTCAATCTTAATAACTTAAAAATGAAATATCCTTGAAAGTCTTAATGAAAGTGGATGTAAGAGGCATCAATCTGTCCTGTTATTTCAGTAACTTGTCCTATTTGATTTCTAATCACGGCACACAATTTCAGGCCAAAGCATTAGAGATTTCGTACAATGAGTTGAGACGCAGGAAAGAAATCGAGGAAGTACTAGCAAATGAAAAACAAGAGTTTCAAAATATGAAGAAGCAATGGAATGAAGAGCGTTTAACTGCCGTGGATCAGAGAGTTTCACTAGAAAACCAGGTTGCGACCTTTAATTATATGATTAAGAAATTGGAAGAAGAAAAACTATCTGCCGTGGAAATGTCACAAGTTTACAAGAGGGAACAAGATGAGTTGCTGGTGGAGCGCAACGATGCACTCAAAGTAGCTGAGGAGCTTCTGGGACAACAGGCAGAGCCCTTCTCTGTTTTTTCCTTAGCAGAAATCCATGAAGCAAGTTGCAATTTTGATCCATCCTTGAAGATTGGGGAACAAGGATACTGGAACATATATAAAGGTTTACTTCATTCCACCACAGTGGCTATAAAAGTGCTGAACACAGACAGCTCGCAAGCTCACTCCGAATTTCAACAGGAGGTAAAATGGTCTTTAGATTGAGGATCAATTTATATTTGTTGCACCACTAATGAAAAACATTTACCATTCAAGTATTATTAGAATCATAAAAATTGCATTTCCAAAGTAATGTTGATAATATGGATTTGATAAAATATGGTCAGGTTGAAGTTATGAGTAAGATCAGACATCCGAACCTCATCACTCTAATTGGAGCTTGTCCTGAAGCTTGTGCCCTCATTTATGAATATCTTCCGAATGGAAGCCTTCAAGATCGACTCAGTTGTAAGGAAAACTCTCCGCCATTGTCATGGCAAACTAGGATACGCATAGCAACTGATATTTGCTCTGTCCTGATATTTCTTCATTCCACAAAGCCTCGCAGCCTGGTATATGGAGACTTGAAAGCTGAAAATATTCTTCTTGATGATAATTTAGTATGCAAACTCAGTGACTTTAGAATCCCGCACCGTCCTCGGGTTCTTGAAATGGAAGAAGTATCTCCCAAGTCGGATATCTACTTGTTTGGAGTTATACTTTTACAATTGTTGACTGGGAAATCCCCTTTGAATATAGCAAATGAAGTACAAGATGTTGTGGTGGAAGGAAATCTGGTAGCCTTTTTAGATTTCTCAGCTGGGGACTGGCCATTTGTGCAAGCCACACAATTAGCACACTTGGCTTTGAGGTGCTGCGACATTGACCCAAACAAACGACCAGACCTTGCAGCAGAGGTCTGGATGGCGCTTCTACCAATCAGAGCTTCTTGTGGAGTCTCATCATCATCGTGGCTGGGTTCTCAAGGGCATAGTCAACCTCCATCATACTTCATCTGTCCCATCTTACAGGCAAGAACATAGCTATTTTCTTCATTATTATTATTAATTCAAGTCTCCTAATTTTCTTCATAGTCATTGCCCACCCACACTTTGCACTTATTCTGCTGTCTCTAAATGTCTCATTCTTTCTTTTCTTCTTCCATTAATTTGCTACAAAATTCTTTTACTTTCTTCCAACTTATCCAAACAAAATACGGAAAGAATAATTACTATCTTTGTAAGTTGCAAACAGATAATTACACCACTGATTTTCGAGCAATTGCCAGCCAATCCATTCGAATTTCCCTAAAGTCGTATATATGTACTGATTTGCCGCAAACCAAGTTTCATTCAATACATTATATCAGTTTGTTTGGTTATATTTACAGGAAGTGATGCAAGATCCTCATGTAGCAGCAGATGGTTTTACTTATGAAAAAGAGGCTCTGATGGGATGGTTGCAGAGTGGTCATGATACTTCACCTATGACAAATCTCAGGCTTGCAAATCTCAATCTTGTCCCCAACCATGCCCTTCGTTCTGTAATCCGAGAGTGGCTTCAACATCGTTGAAATGCATATGCACTCATTTCTTATTTAATCAATACTGAAGCTGGAACTTTTACTCGACTAATTAAAACCTTATCTCATCAAGGCATTAATTGATGGTTGTGATATTAATGTTTCAAATAAAACTTGGTCAATCCCTATGACTGCTTGAAGAAACTATACATAATGGTAGTTAAATATAATTGTTTAGATGTTTGTTCCAACAGTTTTAGATATCTATCCAATAATTCTCCACCTATGCCGTCAGTCTAACATATTATATAATATTTTCTACCAACTTTTACCTTTGACTTTGGCTATCTTTTTCAATATAGATTTATTATGATAATGTATTCCGGTATATTATACATTGTACATAGTAAAATAGGTTGGATTTCTACGTTAGATATTATAGTATACTGCTCTTATAGATCTGTTAGACCATTGCATCGTGCAGACAACAAATTAATAGCAAGTAAAATAATTCACTCTTTCATCATACATAATTGAAAAGGTCATCACACAGCACAGTCAGCTAACTTCAGATTTAATTATAATGCTTGATAGTTGACTTTGATAATCTGAAAATGAGCTAGACCCCATTTGATCATATCAACACAAGTGTATTTATAATTTTATATATCCTCCCACGTGTAATACCCACCATTAACTCATGTATGGATGCATGTGTGGACACCTTCTAAAAAGTTGCATCCATGTGAGGGCCCCCCCTCCTTTGTTGCTTCCCTGACTTTTGATTTAAGAAAGTTTTTTGCTTATATGGACTTGACCTCACCTGAGCTTTAAAACATGTCATTAATCTATTCGCGGGTTTCTTGTAAAGTCAATATCTCATCCTTACCCATTGACACTTTCACGCGTTTTGGTCCTCAACTGAGCCTGAACACACTTGATAATATTTATTGTGCCGCCCTTATCTGTACGGCCAATGCGGAACTTAATACCAGTTTAGAGAGTTACCGGTAACCTTTGAACAAATATGGATGGCATAAACAATTGTGTCACGCGCTTTCGCCTTTCGCTGTATGCAACAACTCCGTGGCAGCTGGTAAGAGGGTGAGCTGGCACTTTGGTTGTTATTTATTAATTTATAAATATATTTATATCTGCTTCCACACCATCTGATTTAATGTAAACTGGCTATCTACCACACCACTTATCTTTATTGTGAGATTATTTCTTTTGTATCAACTTATCAATCATATCTTATCATCATCAATGCAACGCATAAAGATTTGGTTTTAAAAGAAAATTTATATACAAAGATTACTGTTAACATGTTACAGATAGTACATGATAAGTACAGAAAAAAGACATTTTTTTACTGGAAATAAAATTTTTAAATATTAAAATTATATATTTTTAATACTTTATAAACAACAAAAGTTTGTCTCCTTGTAACAATTTTTTTTTTTTTAACAAAAGTTGTTTGGATCAATTTATATGGACCTTAGTTAATTCTCAAATGTCTAACTTCAATTATTACTCTTATTAATATCTGACGAAACTTAAACTCAAAGACTTATAAAACCTTTTTTTATTCTTTTATTATTAGCCACCTAATAATAATTAAAATTAATGTACATTATCCTCTTCTATTTGTAAATTAAGAAAAAAATAATATAACAAACCTATTTTAATATGTTTTTTCTCGGTAACTATATACAAGTATCTCTAAAGAAATTTTTATATGATTCAAACTCTTTATTATAAAGAGTTTATCCATAAAACAAGAGTCAACAGACTCTTTATTTTTTAAATATAAATTAAAGAGTGAGATTGACCCTCAACATTTAGAGAGTCAAATTTCACTTTCTATACTAATTTTAAATAATAAATTACAAGTTTCTATATATTTTATTTATAATTTATCTCTTCTATTAAGTTTCTTTTTTGAAAAACCATACATTCTCTCATAAAATTTAAAGAGTTTATTGGATTTAAATAAAAATTTTGTTCTTTATATTTAAAAATTAATTAAAATACTTTTTATTTATATGAAATATGTTCTTTAAAATAAAGAGCACTATTGGAGATGCTCTAATATTATACAATTTAATAATGTAAATTTATAATTTCATTAAAGACAAAAAAAAATTAATTGTAATTATTTTAATATATAGAAATTATTTTGTAATATGTATAAACTGTTACTTTTAAGAGCAATTAAAAATCCCAATTTCGAAATGGATGTATTGATAATATATTTGGGTAGATGTTTTTAAAAAGGGAGAACGACATTTTCCCACCCAAGATTTGATAAAACGACGTTATCCACCCATCAAGTTTTAAAATGACACTTTCCCACCCTTCGTCAGGTTTTGTTAATGTTTTTAGTTAATATTTGACTAAAAAAATGAAAATACCCTCAAATCGTTTATTTCTTAATTAGTTTATTATAAATTAAAATTTAGTTAAGTCAAAGTCTGTATTCTCGATTATTTATTAGTTCAAGTGTAAATATTTTTTTTTCTTTTGTTTATTTAATTAATTAAGAATATTGATTTTATATGTTAATTAGTAAAAACGAAAGACATTATATTATAAAAAACATTATAAATTTAGTAGGTTATTAAATAATAGTGATGAGATATTAATGATATTATAAATAAATAAATATTAAGATTTTTAACTTTAAACAATTTCATAACATTACTCATAACTTTTTAGGTAGGGTTATTATTTATTTTTCAATATTTGACCTTTTTAATTAATTAAAAAATAATAAAAAATTTATAAAATTAAATATTTAAAAATACTTTCATCTTTTTAGTAATATATTAATGAAAAATATAACAAAACATAATTAATGGTGAAAAAGTGCCATTTTAAAACTTTGAAGGGTGGGAATGTTCGTTTCGTCATACCTTGGGTGGGAAAATGTCGTTCTCCCTTTTAAAAGTTACTCCGACCTAATGTAAATGTCTTTGCCAGTCATTAAAATATAAACCGTTAATATTAAATAACAAAGATTTGCAAGTCCAGTGTCCACGTCACATTCCCGCCAATGAAACCGTGTAACACACGCCCCGAGCATGAGCGTTGAAAAGAGTACAATGAAAACAAGTCAACAAACGCTAACAGACGGCGTGTTTTTCATGTCCGGGAGGCAGCCTAAAAACGACAAGCCAAGAAAAAGCAACTCTCACGATATTTTTTTCTAGTTTCCTTGGCGATTTTCTCTTTCAAATTTCTTCTCTCTTCTCTAAACTCTATATTTCTCTCACAAAAAACAAGAAAACCCTAGCTTATCGTTCTGTGTAATTTTAAATGGATATACAGAGAGCTATACATATACTAATCATAGTGTTGTCGCTGAGTCCGTGTTTGGGGTCAGCCGGTGACATAGTTCACCGAGACGACAACACTCCCAAGAGGCCTGGTTGCGAGAACAACTTCGTTTTGGTAAGTTTAATCTGGTTTTGGTTTTTTATTTTTTATTTTACCTGAATTGATTTATAATTTTATTTTGATGTTTCTTTTGCGTTTCGTTGCTGAGAAAACGGAGGAAATAAAAAAGATAGTGGAAAATTAGTGGTCGATGAAATTAAGAGATTCACTCTATTTTAACTGAGTAGAGTGTAGTAGTGTTTGTTATGCTTTAACCTCAGTAGAGTTTTCCTGTTCGGTTTTCTTTTTTTGAATAAATAAAAAAATTATATCGTTGTTTGTTTGATTGCTGAAAAAAAAATTACGGAAAAAAAAAGTAGTAGTCAAGAAGAGAAAGGAAAACGGGAGGATAAATTTGCGCTTTAATGTCGATGTGGCTTTGGACTCAAGAAATTATGAAGCGGACATCGTTTTAGAGGAAATATCTTTCTTCACTCTTCTTTATTCCTTCTTATTTAGCGCTGAGAAAATGTAGCGTGGTGAGATTATAATAGTAAACTGAATTTGAGTTAACATAAGTGTCTGTTTTAGGCCAGTTGAATGGATATTTTATCTTTAATTGTTTTTTCTTGGGGCGTTGAATAGAGAATCTAATGATTATGGTTACTCTTTTTTTTTCTTTCACACGCTTTTATGTATCAGCTTTGATCTGATTTGAAGTTTTGTAGGTTAAAGTTCCAACTTGGGTTGATCGTGTACCAGATATTGAATATGTTGGTGTTGGTGCTCGTTTTGGCACTACTTTGGAGTCCAAGGAAAAACATGCCAATGAAACGAGACTTGTACTGGCAGACCCTCCTGATTGTTGTAGCAAACCAAAGAATAAGGTTTTCAGTTTGACATATATATTATTGATACTTGAAACGCGCTTTCTTTCAAGCTTGTTGTATCTTATGTTCTGTTGATTTTATCCATAAGTGTGGGATGCCTTGCCTTTCTGTAGCTTAATCATGAAGTACTTCTAGTGCATAGAGGTGGTTGCAGTTTTACAACTAAGGCGAATTTTGCTGAAGAGGTAAATGCTTCAGCCATCCTCATAATAAACTACAAAACAGGTATTTGCATTTACTTCCTCCATTTCTTGAGGCTTTCTCAGGAGTGTTTCTGTTTTGTAAACTATAGACCTTTTTATGCTGCAGAACTTTTCAAGATGGTTTGTGAAGCCAATGAGACTGATGTAGATATACAAATACCTGCTGTGATGCTTCCCCAAGATGCTGGTGCAAGCTTGGAAAATCATATAAAGAACAACTCTTTGGGTATGCTTCCCCTTATCCTGCATGTTTTAATGGCTATTACTGTGATGTTATTGCTAATAGACATTTTCAGGATTAGTTCCTGGCCTGTTAGTATGTGATCCAGCATTTTCATACAATGTGTTTTTGACCTTTTGTATGTTTGGGTGTCAATTCCCTTTCTTCAGTCTTTGTGCAGCTGTACTCTCCAAAGCGTCCGCTGGTTGATGTTGCAGAAGTTTTCTTATGGCTTATGGCTGTTGGCACTATTTTATGTTCATCTTACTGGTCTGCTTGGACTGCCAGAGAAACAGCCATTGAACAGGACAAGCTGTTAAAGGTCATTTGCTGCATTTTAGCAGCTAATATTTGTATTTCTTGAAGGAATATTCTTCCAGTGTTTTGGCAATATAGTTATGAGTTCCTCATTTTGATTCGTGAACTCATGTTGCACTGCAGGATGCTTCAGAGGAACTTTTAAACTCGGAAAATGTTAGTTCCAGTGGTTTTTTGGACATCAACACAACATCAGCAGTTCTCTTTGTTGTGGTTGCTTCGTGTTTCTTGGTTATGCTCTACAAACTGATGTCACTCTGGTTTCTTGAGGTTCTAGTGGTTCTATTTTGCATTGGTGGGGTAGAGGTGCGTTTTTCATTTTGTTATGCATGCTTTATTTAATTTGATTTAGTTTTCGCATCTCTCTTACAGAACATTTTACTGGTTATTATAAATAATAAACTCTTTAATGAAGCATAGCTTTCTTAACCTTTCATACTATCCATCTTGATTTCTGATGATTTTATTCTTTCTTACATCTATATGTTTCTCCCCTTCTTAAGCTAGAACTTTTTCTTTTCTAGATCTTACCTTTTATCCATATTGAGCACTTCACTTCCATAGATCTGTATCCTCAATTCATAGATGGTAAAAATTTTACATTTACATACCTGGTTAATCAAAAGATTTGATACACCTGGTATGCTCAAGATACTGTTAAATAAAGAGGGAAAGAAAACCATTATACACTGACCGTATGTGTGGAAAGAATATGCGTATCATCTAAGTGTGCTGATTAATATGGGATATGGATAGGCCAACCATCCTGGATACATCTGTCTCCAGAGATAAGGAGTTACTAAATATCTAAATTATAGGTGATACCCATTTTGTTTCTGTATGAGTTGAATGCTTCTAGCATATGATAAAGACTTCTTGACTTCAGATTGCATCATTTTCAACATTTTTTTGAGATGGATGCTGAATCTTGTAATCTCTTCCTGCTCACAGGGTCTGCAAACTTGCTTGGTAGCATTATTATCATGGTATGCTATTACTCCTTTTCAGGGCCTTATATTGATTGGATTTTTGAGTTGGACTGCTGGTTAACCATCATTGTATATATTCTTTTTGTTAATAAAATTTATTTCATCTTTCCTATCGAAACTAAATAAATAATTGTATATTTCTCCTTTCATGTATGCTTTCCCCACCTATAACTGATATGATAATATAATGTTGCTGAAGTTCCACTAACTATTTGAGAAGATTGTGAAAAAATGGATGTGAACCTTTATATGTCTGAGCGTAGTGACAAATACAGTACAGCGATGAAACAAATCACCTGATTTTGATGGCTCAGTTCTCAAAATGCTGCCTTATGTTTTCAGAGCATTGTTTCTGCTTGTACTAGTTTTCTACTATTGGGAAAAAATATGGATCTAATTTTATTTTGAACACATATTACCATACATTTGAGAATACAAGAATAATGGATATCAGGGTTTTAATCATGCTAAATATTACCATACATAAAATGTCATACATGCTTTTTATCAGTACTGATACTATATTGTTTGTGTTATTAATGGATATACAAATTATATGCAATTTTGGGATTATAGAATATTTGAGCATTGTTAGTATGTTAAAGAGAATGCAAGTTTGTTAAATTTCATGTCTACTGTTTTATATTCTTTTGTTCAAGTTTTCTACCCACGGGTTTAAAGTTATGGAACTGACAACTAAACAAATATAGTTTCAGATGGTTTCAACATGCTGGAGAATCGTTTGTTAAAGTACCCTTATTTGGAGCTGTCTCATATCTGACGTTGGCAGTTTGTCCGTTCTGCATAGCATTTTCTGTTATATGGGCTGTTTTTCGTCGCATATCCTTTGCTTGGATAGGTCAAGACATCCTTGTAAGAGAGATTTTTCACAACCTACCTTTACAATCTATGTTGGTTTACTTCATTTTGTGTAACATCCCTGCTTTCATAGCTAATATCATTTTTGCTCCTGAACCCCTTGCCACTCCTTATTCATGTGCCATTTGATATTGCGACTCCCTACGAGACCAATTTGGCTTTCCACAATGTTTGCATCATCCTTGTAATGTATTTAGAAATACATTCCCAACAAGAACAAATCCTTATTTTATAAAGTATGACATTTATTAACGTTAGTTGAATTAAATTTAGTCAAAGGTTTGGTCGGGCTGACAGTGGGTTTAGTTGGTTGGGTAAAATCAGGTTATGTTTTTGGTTTGAACATTTCGTATCAAAAAATTTTGTTTCATGTTGAGCATGTTGCTGATACTGGACTCTACTCGTTTTCTGTATGTCACAATGGCGTATTTATGATAAAATGGTTTGAGGTCCACTCTTACCTATTAGGAAAGAATCCATTACACATGTTAGATAGATAAAGATAATGGAGATGTTGTCATTTATCTGCTTATCTTTTAATTGATATTTTTAAACTTGTAATGTAGCTGCCAGCTAATGATATTTTAACTTCCCCTTCCAAATTTTGGCCTCTTGATTCAGGGTATTGCACTGATGATCACAGTTCTTCAGATTGTTCGTGTACCAAACCTCAAGGTGATGATTCAGACTTAGTTGACTTTAGTGGTTACTGATTAGAGATGTGTGCATGTATGCCCTTGCATAAATCTGCTTTATTGCTTTCTTGATAGAATTTGTGCAAGCATGATAACATTCTGACATTTGTAGACATTTTGTGTTGTAAAAAATCATGGAGACTTCAATTCTTATTCTATACACCATGAAATTCTGTGGTTCTACATTTTGTTTATTTATCTAGCTTCAAATCTTTGGAGTTGCATTCCAGTATTTTGATTATTAACTTTTTCATCCATTTCATAAATAAAAATTTCAAAAAAAGATGGAGAAGAAAAGTTGCATGCCAATAAATCAGGCAAATTGAAAGTCCAGAATCAGACAAAAAATAATTATATGGCTGATATATATCATGAGACTTGCCATATGATAGGCGAAATAATGTTGATAAATGTTTCTTTATATATCTTTCTGTGTCATAAATATGATGCAATCAGGTTGGAACTGTTCTGCTCAGTTGTGCCTTCTTGTACGATATCTTCTGGGTATTCGTTTCTAAATGGGTGTTCCATGAGAGTGTAATGATAGTGGTAAGTAGTTGTAATGATATTTGGTCCTGAAGGCTTGTTGCACTAATTGAGGGAGAGTTCTAAGTTTCTCTGATTTCCTGTCTTTCAGGTAGCTCGTGGTGATAGGAGTGGAGAGGACAGTATCCCCATGTTATTGAAAATCCCACGGATGTTTGATCCTTGGGGTGGCTACAGTGTTATTGGTTTTGGTGACATTATCTTACCGGGACTGCTTGTGGCATTTTCACTGAGGTTTGAGCTTTGCCTAATATAAAAACGTTGTCAGGAGTTATCATGTTTGATCCCACTTCATAAGACTTACTTTGCTAAATGATAAATCATTGGACTCGTGAGTGACATCATTAATAAAATTCTTCTGTTTATTATCAAGAAACAGAGGGAATAGAGAATATTGGAACTATTAGTGCACTATACAGAAACTTAACTCTGGGCTGAAATCAACTTGGAGCTGCCAGAAGGAACATTTTTAATATTCTATTATATCATTATTTGATGATTTATGACTATGAGCGTAGTTTTCTATTCATGGACTATCCATAAATTAAATTATTGTCTGATTCCTTTTGCAGGTATGATTGGTTGTCAAAGAAGAATCTTCGTACAGGATACTTTGTGTGGGCGATGACTGCTTATGGTCTTGGTATGAGAAATGCTACTGTAATTGTTGTTAAGATGAGAAATCTATATTATGGAATTGGATTGTTGCCCATATCCATGAGAAAATGAGTAACATAACTTTTAAAAGCCTAGGCTAAAACCAACAGTTTTAGTTTGAGCGCACACGTCCATGTATATGTCGCTTCATGTTATGATTAAGAAGTTTCATTATCCTAGCAATAGAAATTGACATAATAATTTATGCTCCACTGCAAAGAGAATCATTTAAAGTAAAGTTCAGAAAAGAGAGCATTCACACTTCTTTTTCAACCGGATATTGATCACATTGCATATAATAATAACGGGAAGGAAAAGGGTAATGATGGCCCTTGGATGTCCTCTGTTTAAAAGAATTATGTTGTAACTATTAATAATGACTATTTTCTCATGTACGAATGATGCTTGCACTGCAGGTCTCCTGATTACATATGTGGCTCTGAATCTGATGGATGGACATGGCCAACCGGCTTTGCTTTATATTGTTCCATTCACCCTTGGTAAGTTGCAATAGCTTGAGAAAGGTGCACTTCATGCATATATGTAAGACATGCCAAAAATTATATTTTCTTGGGGATAGTGCACCCGCAGCACTCAAACTTACGTCTCCAGAAATTTGTTTCAGAGCTTTTTGTCTTCGAGTTTTTCTTCCAAAATCAAGCTTGCGAATTAGTGATGTTATACCCGTTAATTTATTTCATGGATGCAGGCACCTTTTTGACATTGGGAAAGAGAAGAGGTGAACTTAAAACTCTGTGGACAAGAGGAGAACCAGAGAAGCCCTGCCCCCATATCCAATTTCAACCTTCATGATTATGTTAAAGATATGGATGATATCTCAATGTAGTTTTATAGGTTTTTAGCACGAAGACCTCAAATACTACTTTACCTACCCAAAATTGTAGGAGAGCATCTTGACATATATAGTGTTAATTACATCTTCGAGTTCAGATATTGACCATTGACCAAGAGTTAGATGCACTTAATTAAAACCCGCTTGACTAATGCCTTAAAAGATTACGACCGTTGGTTCGGTGAGCATAATATCCCATTCCCAACCCCACTATTATTTCTTCAAATATTCTTGAATTGGTGTCCAATCACGGTGAAGTCCATTATACTTATGCGAGCATAAACTTATCATAGGCTTCGTGAATCTTGACAATCTTGTGCTGAATATGATCGACAGTTTAGCATGACGGTCTCTAGTCGGTTGTGATTCAACGTAGTACACACAACCAGTTTAGTAATGTATCAGTTGTTGGGCAGGATCCTCAAAACCTTATTTTCATTTCCTTAGCATTGATTGTCAGTCATAACATCATATTGGACATATAAATACTTTAATAAGAACATAAAACGCTTCTGTCAACAGTTTCTCTACCTTAACTTGAAGTCAACTATGTGTGCTCATCCACAATGGCACTAGATAAGTGGTAAAGCCACCTATTTCACATTCACAATCACATGACAGATGAATTTTTCTATTAGACTCTCATTATCCGGAAATGAGAACTTGACTAATTATGGCAATTCATAATGCAAAAGGCTATCATATCATCTCAATTTTGATGAAGAATCTTCATTGTCCGTATATTCCAGACACAAGATTTAAGAAAAAACAATGTTCTGTCAGACACCTTTCGATACAATTAAATTATCACTCTCAATATAGCTCAAAAAGTAACTAAAGTTGGGAAACACCAATTAAGACTCACAGACTTCTACGTCTTTCCTCTTGCCGTCTTAGTAAATTTGGCCACATCATAGGAAAGCCAGAAAATACTGTGAACAGCAGGTAAAAAGTTCCGCCATTGCACTGACAAAGCAGCCCCGTGATTTAAATAATCCTCAAGGATCCATTGTTTCCATCAGCAGTCTGTAACATATCACTAAATTTATAAAGCTCTTCTCTACACACTAAACAAAGTGCATCCTAAAATCATGAAGAGATCACTCTACTTGTGCACATACTGCAAAATTATAATGAAATGTAACTTCTGAAAACTAACCAAGTATACTACAAAAAGAAGAAATGAAACTCTTGTAACAAAAGGACGCAGTGTGGACAGTGTTCTCCTTTTCCCAGTATCTTAGTATTGACAGGTAATTACTGGGCAATCTGAGCTCATACATGCTTGTGATATTCAAAGACAAAGTAACTTGCAGAAACACAGTTTCTTTATTAGTTGTTTTCCATTAAAATACAAAGAGGTTGCCCTTTCAATCAAAATTGCGTTTTGGCCAAGCACAACCAAGAAAACAAATTAAAAAATTGAATTGAAAAACTTACATGTAAACATTAATGACAAAACCAACTCCTTAGACGCCACTAAACCACCTGCATAAGCATCTGATCAAAATTGTTCCAGCCATGCGGCCAATCTGGGGTAATATCATTTCTGCTCCCGATCTGGTTCTCTCCATGCAAAGAAATTACTTTGTGAGTAATGTAGAATATTAAGATCATGGCTCAAATGGACTGTGGTATTAAAGGATATTAAAATATGGTGGGTCGAGCAGATCAGTCAATAAGCAATTATCATATTGATAAAAGTAGCTTTTTCTGACAGTTGTGTTCTAAAGTCAAGGGGTGAATAGAGCCTAGCAGATTTTGAATCAGGGAAAGAATTTTCAAGAGCAACTCAACAAACACTACATTTACAACAACAAATTCCACTCTTAATTTGAGAGAAATCTGCAGACAATCTCATACTTCCAAGGGAAACGCAAAATATAATATAATATTTATCACATAAAGGTAGTGTGACACTGTAATGAAAAAGGAAAAAAAAGGAACAGTTAACATACTTGCATTTCTTCTACCATTGCCATTAACAGAATAATGTAGTGGCCTTATTTCTTGACCCAAAGATAGAATCTCTTGCATCCTTTCAGGCCAGTCAGAATTCAGTCTCCGGGCAAAATCCTCCACCTCCCTGCATCACATGATATCATACCAGAGCTTAAGATTTCGTTTCATAAGCCAATAGGCAACATATAAAAAATTTTGACATTTCAACTTCATGTGCATATTACTTTTCTCTACTATTGCTGCATATTTGATGATCTATTGAAATATCAAATGAATAAGTGAAAGAATTTTCTACTTTCTATGACAAGACTTCTAAAGGTGCTTAATATGATACATAGCTCCTGGTCACATGACAGAAATTTAAATGTCTAAAAGTCCTTAGCATTGTCATTTGCCAGATTTTAAGCAATAATTTTCTAATTCATCTATGGTTACAGATGAGCAGAACATATTCATCTATGCTTAAAGATGAGCAGAACATAAATTACGATTATAGATGCGCTTGAACATAACTGGGTGTAATGAGTTCACTATTTCACATACAGTATATCCGCAATTTAAACATCGTTTATCTGAAAGGGCATTTTTTGACAACATTGAGCAGGTCACTATGAAAACAGTAAAAGAAAATATTTAACACCAACAGAGAAAGTAGCTACATAGAGGCAATGAAGTACTACCCTGATTGGACAACTTCATGCTGCTCACAGTTTACTGAGCTCATGTAATATCAAGAACATTTGCAGTACTCAATAAAGCATAAACAAAACTCCCCTCCCCCTCTCTTCTTCAAAAAATTTCTAAAACTCCAGCAGAGGTTCTATAAAGCCAAACCATTTCTAAAGGTGTCTTTGAGGAAGCAGATTTAAGAATCTTATAAAAAATTAAGACAACTATGTTGTTTGGGGCCTATCAATGTAACAAATTCTTCCACCATACTTGGCTCACACGCAGACACAGAAACCCATGTTCAACTCTTTATGCAGCATTCCCAACAGTGGAAGCACAAAACCAAATAAAATCAGATATCATACATTGTTAATAACTGTACACAACTTCTAATCGGCATTAGAATTAGGCCAAGATGTTTCAAACACACACAAATACATATATGTTTATCATTAGAACTTCAAGAAACAACTTAATATTTCCTTAAGATCTATGTCACAAAATACCAACAAACTCAGATCCCCATTAAGTGACATAACAGTTGATATTTGATAAAAAGAAAAAAACAGAGTTCCTCAGTCCTCAAGCATTCTCAAACAAAGACCTATCCATGTGTGCATGTGTGTGCGCATGCGTAACAGCACAAGTCAGTAAGTATATTCAATAATCCAAGAACATAGCCTCACCTATCTATTTTTTCCTTCAATGCTGGATCAATCTCGTCATCTACATCACCGTCATCAAACTCAGACTTCCGAGCAAAAATATCATCCTCAACATCTTGCATATTTGATGTCTCTCCTTGATCAGGCCTAAACTCGTTCCCAGCCTCAGCACAAGGGCATAAAGAATTAAGCCCGTTTGACTCCTACAACACATGTAAAGAATCAATACCTTTACAATTTATGCATGAGTTAAGATTTAGAGACTATCTTAAAAGGAAGATACAAAAAATAGCTACACAGTCCTTCAGACCTGCTTATGGGTTTTAATGGTTTCATTAGCAGAGGCACTCTTCTGTTGATCTTTTTTTCTTCGATGCTTCTTCTTATTCTTGGAAGTTCTAACCCCTTTAGAATCTGTCAAAAAGAATTGTATAACCTCCAATGAGGCCCTAAAGAGGAAGTAGAGTGGAATAAACAGGGATAAGAGGCAATAATACATGTCCATTGAATATATTAAGTTTCTAATGTCAATTAAGAAATTATGAAAATATTAACAGAAAACATTCAAGTGTATAAGTGTATATGTGCAAAGATCTATGGTCACCAAATCCCCTCCATATTATTACTCAAATAAGTATGCTAAACTAAAAATTTACATATCACCATAATCAAGTTGGTATTGCTATAGACAACAACTGGAGAAGCAAAATGTAGATCAAATAGTAAGCTAATTAAGATCCAAATGTGATGAGCGCTTCCACCAATTTAAGCCAGTCAGCATAATAATAACTATTCATGAAGCACTAATAATTTTTATACAATCAGAAAAAAGATAGAGCAGCAAGAATTCAAGAGTAGAGGACAGAAGAACCAACACCCGATGATACCTCCTTCTCCTCCATTTATAAAGGACAAAAGGTCATCAACTGAACGGTCATCCACACGGTCTTCTTCAACCTCAACAATCTGAAAAAATGACCATCATTGTCAATATGCAGATCCCATAAGTATAAACACATAATTGCATTTGGTTTGCAATGAATATTCAGGTCAAAATGCACACTGCAGAACCAAGAACTCAAACTGCAAACGAGGAAAATATAGAAGATGAAGGTAAAACGGGGAAAGAAAAAACCAAGTCACCTTTAATTTCTCCTTTTCCTTCAGTTCTTTCCTCTTCTTTGCATATAGACGGTTTAGAAGTCGAATCCGTGGATCATCAGTTGTATTTTTCAAAGGCTCCAATTTCTCTTCCTAAACAAAGGATCTATGTTAGAACAATAAGAAGATGAAAAGGACATACTAAGCAAACACAGTTCCCACAAGCACCAGACACCTCAGTAAGATCATCAGGCAAATGAAATATCTCACGTATCTCTTCGGGACTTCTCCCTTCAATAATTCGTGCAAGTGCACGACTAGTAAGATCAACCAAAGGCTTCAATTGGAGGCTGTCAGCAGCAGATGTCAACTCACATAGCCTCTTTGTATCCATTCGAATGAACTTTTCATCAAAAGACTTGCGCTCCTATACACCCAACAAAAAGAGATGAAAATCAAATTCTAGTTATACTTTGCAGAGTTCTGCCTTCCCAAACTTCATTGCACCTAAATGATGTCAAACAGGAAATAAAAGGGGTGCATTCCTAAACTTCATCATACCTTAAAAAAGGTCAAAATTAAATGAAAAGGGCCTAAATGCTCTAAAGATAGCTTATAATCTGCCCCAACTTCTATGGTTTTACAGAAAATGTCAAGTACCCACTTGGAATAACAAAGAAGGATATCAACTGAACAAAAGGTAAATGATGATTCATAAACATATAAAACCTTGTTAGAACGGCCTGGCACTTGATGAAACCTGCAATAATCAAGAATCAAGCTCAATGAGGCAGGATTGACTCGTTGCGGAACAGATATTGCATAGCTCTTGGATGATCCCATGCCCTTTTGTATTACTTCATGACATATCATGGGACAAAACATGGCAACCTCTTGTTCCACTTGTTGGATTGAACCATCAGCTGTCTGGAGCCAGATGTAGGACTTCATCATCTGGAAAAAGCATATCAATGCATCAGAAGTAGTTAGAACATTCAACTACAGATTGACATCATACTACTAAATTAAATTGCACACAAACATGGTCCACAATACAACAATTTGATCTAGCGACCATACATTTGCTCATAACTCATAGATCACATGGGACCAAAAATATGTTCCAATCTTAGAAACATATTGACCACCTTCAATATAATAAATTGATTTAAGAATAAACTGTCACTAATTAGCCTTATACTGCCTTTAAATGTTGCATTTTTTTTTTTTTAATTTATTTATTGAAATGAACGATTCAAAACCATATAAGATATTATACCTCAGGTTTAATGACTGCCATATCAACTTCTGACATTTGACAATATTTGAACCAACAATAGAAGCACTTATAGAGATCCTTTGCAGAGTAAGTTGTATAATTCCCTCTTTGAACGTCAGAAGCTTAGATTCACCAGATCAACTGAGAGTTTTACCCTTGTCAAGTAATAAAGATTCTCAAATTTATAATAAGTTTTCCACAAAGCTAACTGAAATGGAAAAATACCGAATTCCATGAACCTTGCTATCAGCAGCAGTTTTCATGAACTTTCTTAAGCTGCATCATCAAACTGGTATAGTTATCAGAATAAAAAACCCCACACCATCCAGCTGACAAAACTTAACTTTCAGCTTAAGATACAAGTATTTGAATGAAAAAGAAAATAAATGTATCAATTAAAAGCCAAACATAACACAGACACACACATGCTACTCATGCTATTAAGTTTCTCAAATTTTTGTTTCAGCCAATTTATCATTTAAATAGATATGGTCTATATGTGTGTCATTCTGTTTTCCTGCATGCATCCTTGGAAAATCTCATACTCGTTAAGCTAATATTTCTCAGACTGCTATTACAATCAATATGTATAACATGAAGTTCTATTCAAGTATAAGTAATTCTTCCAATTTGATCACTTAATTTGAACATTTCATAACACACCATTCTAAAATTTAACAAATAAAAAAATATACATACAATAAAAACTGAACTATTAAGATATATTTGAGCTAAGCTATATAGCTCAACAAAACAAATCTTTTAGCATGTTTTGGATTTTCCTGCATCTTAACCACTAGTAATCCACAGTTCAAGAATTAAGTTCCATTCTTTCTTTACACTTTATATAGAATATAAAATTTACCTATCGAATATTAACATATAAACAATTAACTGAAAAGAAAGCAAAGAAAAGAATAAAAATATTTATACATAAAACGAATTCAAGAAATAAATATACACACGCAAAGCCATAACCCTACCTATAAGAACAAAGCAGCGATTAAAGCCTTGTATACTACAAAGAAAAACACTAAAACTAGGTTAACAATACACATTTCTACTCCCTGAATCTCTCTATCGTCAAACAAACAAACAAAGAATCAAAGAAGAAAGAAAGTGTAAACTTCTATCGTATACCTTCGAGAAGAGAGAGTAATAATTGGAATTGCAGAGAGAGTCCGCTTTGAATTGCAGAGATTTGGCGGTTTTCGGCGACCTCAGAATGGATAAATGAGAGAGAAAATAAAATTAAAAGGTTTAAATAAATATATTTATATATATATATATATATATGTATGTAACCGGAAAACTATGTTCTGTGTTTAAAGATTTTCTCTGTGAATGTGGTGCGCCTCGCGTCGCTGTCTCGAGCGAGCGAGGGTCCGATAAGACATCAAAACGCCCGCCACACGTGAACCCTATTTACTATTAGCGTTGGTTAGGCTGGGTCCCTTTAGAATTTTAATTTTTCTCTTTTTAAATCAACAGTTATAGCCTTATAGGTATAGAAAGGTAAATAATGGAAGTAATTCTCCTCCCCTCCATTTCTGGACTGAACGAGAGAATGAGAAGAATTAGAAACCGTTTTTCTTTTGCACTTTAACCCTTATAATAATAATTTTAAAAAAATCAGTTTGGGCCAAGCGGAGTCAATTGTTTTAGAAGCCCATCTGTCGTAACGTACTCTTGTGAACTTTAGTTGAATTCGGTATGGGTCACAATCAGTTAACTGACCCCGTTTTTGAAGGCCCATGTTCAAATCCATGTCAGAAATCTGAAGAACCAACACGCATTTGCCACTCATTCAGCTATTTTATTTCAATATATAACAATGCCGCAACCACGTGCCATATGTCTTCAATCAAACATTCTGTTCATATCATTCCGTTGAATTCCATCCTGTTCTGTCCCCCAAAAAAATTTGTCTGTTTGCAAGCTTTCAAAATTAATATCAAATACATGTAAATTCTCTTAAGATGAAAGAGTTGAGTGTCTGAACGCGCTCAATAACAGTATTTTTTTTTTTTCATAAAAATATCATGAATTAGATCAAGCATAGTGGGATTTGATGAAAGAGGAAAGGAATTTAAGAAGATTGTATAAACAATTGGATTATGCAAAGTTATGATGGTTGAAAATTTGAAGTTTTCAGTGATGATCATGATTGAAATGGGGCCAAACCAAACCAAGGTCCCATCATTACAAGTGAGTAGAGGATAACATCAGGAGAGCACAACCTAACGTCAGTTGTTGCGGACGACAAGTAAAACTCTTATCACGAAACAATGTTGTTTGAGGAGAATGGAGCTCACCTGGTATCGTAATTCTCATCAAAGGCCTTGGCCCTGCAACAATACCACTCCCAGCTGATAATAAAATAATGTATTACTGGATAGAATTTGAGGTGAGTTTGATTCCTTATTTAATAAGACTTTGTTAAATGAGAAAATTACCCTATCTTATAAATCAATAGGTTTGAGTGTGTCTAGTCGGTATGTGACTCCAACACTCTCCCTTATAGTTAAGCTCATATGTTGGGTTATGTCTGTTAATGGAGGTAGTTGTTGGCTCACAGTCCTCACCCGCTAGTCAAGCACTTAGCTCAATTGAACATAGGCTCTGATACCATGATAAAATTTAAGGTGGGTCTGACTCCTCACTCAGTAAGGTTGGAGTCTCACATTGACTAGGCACACTCAAGCCTACTGGTTTATAAGAAGGTGTAATTCTCTCGTTCAACAAAGTCTTATTGGATGAGGAGTTAGGTCCACCTCAAATTCTATTATGGTATCAGAGCCTAGGTTTAGTTGAGTTGAGTACTTGACTAGCAAGTGAGGAGTTAGAGCCAACAACTACCTCCATCAACAGACATGACTCAATATATGGGTTTGACTGTGAGGGGGAGTGCTGGAGTCTCACACTGACTAGGCACGCTCAAGCCTACTGGTTTATAAGAGGGGGTAATCCTCCCATTCAATAAGACCTTATTGGGTGAGGAGTCATGCCCACCTCAAATTCTATCATGGTATCAGAGTTCAAGCTCAGTTAAGTTAAGTACTTGACCAATAGGTGAGGAGTTAGAGCTGACAGCTACCTCTAATAACAGGCATGACTCAACAAATGGGCTTAACTGTGAGGGGGAGCGTTGGAGTCCCATATCGACTAGGCACGCTCAAGCCTACTAGTTTATAAGAGGGGGTAATCCTCCCATTCAACAAGGCTTTTTTGGGCGAGGAGTTAGGCCTACCTTGATTACCCCCTCTTATAACCCAGTAGGCTTGAGTGTGCCTAGTCGGTGTGGGACTCCAACACTCTCCCTCACGGTCAAGCTCATATGTTGAGTCATGCCTGTTATTGGAGGTAGTTGTCGGCTCTAACTTTTCACTCGTTGGTCAAACACTCAACTCAACTGAACTTGGGTTCTGATACCTTAATTATGTTTTGAACAATTTTTATTCTTAATACCATATTTATGTTTATGAATTTGTGCAAGAGTTTAGGTTTAATGCTTTATGAATGTTAGATTGATTCAATTACCTTGATGATGTTTCGAATAGAGAAGTTTGGGTTTATTGCTTAATTCATATTCATAATTGTTTTATGGAATAACATTGCAGAGCATATTAAAACTAGAAGTAATTGAATAGAGATTCTAGGATTAATTTGTGATCTATCTAATTCATAACCAAATATGGTGAATTAGTCGTACGGGATTGATGAATTTATGCTTCTTAATTTCAGGGTAACCGAATAGGGATCTGTATTAGGTTGAATGTTATGCCTAAATAAAGATAATTGGCTTTAGAGGAATCTTACCAATTCATAGCATAAACGGGTATTAAGAGAAATTGTTAAGCATAATTAGGGGAAAATATGTACCCTAACTTCATTAATATTGTAAAGTTCTTCACATTATTTATTTGTTTAATTTAGTTATTTTTAATCCATTAACTTTACACTGTAAAATTTCATTTTCTAAAATAACGTGTAAATAATTTTAGATAATTACGAATATTTGTTTTGATCTCTGTCAGATGATACTCAAACTTAATCACTTTATTACTTGAACATTGATTTAGTCAATCACCTTGGGAAGTCAACTAATGATACATTACCAAACTTGTTCATTCCGTCGTGAAGTCCAACTAGCTAGTAGCTTGATCAGTTTAACCAGGACTGAGGTTTAACTAAAGTTTTTTCCTGAATAATTAAGTTCGTCCTACATCGGCAATAACAAGATGTCCTATATATGAATTCGATCCAAGCCTTTGAATGTACTTCATTATATGAAACTTAAGCAAAGCCCAGTTTCATGCTTAAAATCTGCCCGCTATGATTATTGGTTACTCAGGCAACTGATACCACCCTAGCTACTTCGGCTCGGGGGATAATTTCTCAATCGAGTTCGAGTTCAATGTTCTGCAATAGTTCAAGTGTTTGGTGCCTCTCCTTAGGTAGTGTTGGTAAGTTGATTTTAATTTATATCGCCTTCGTACGTTGAGCGTCACGGATCGGGAACTGGGTAATTGGGTCAAGGCGTTTTTTTTTTTTTTAATAACTACTTTAACGAGCTTGAAATGAGGTGCAGCTACACTCCTGAAGTACGAGTGTTGCCATTATTTCACATTGTAACAACTAACAGACGGCATTAATTGGATCCGATGTAGTAGCAAAAACCAAAAAGAAAATAAAAAATGTTCAATGGCGACATAAACTTTCAACTGTGTCAGATCGATACATGTAAATATGAGTTGTAGCTAGGCGGCCATCCATTAAAATCTGTTATCTGTATTCAAAGAATATATAATAGTAGAAGGCTACAGTGCTCTTTTTAATTTTTTTGTTCCTTGTGATTTTATATATAGAGAATTTCTGGTCACATTATACACACACACAGTTTTCTTTCAATTAAATCACCGACAGTTTTTTAAAATCAATTACATTAATATTATAATTCCTAATTGGTGTTAACCTATATTATATTAAATTATTTTATTTATGCTATTATTATATTTAATGGTTTAAAAGTATTTATAGTAAAAATCTTTTGATTGGCAAATTATATGATTAATTTAGTTCTTATATATAATTAAATTCATTTGATAAAATTTCTGAATATTCGTCTCTGTTATTAGTTTGGGAAACATTTTTCTCAATGAACCGATAATGATCAATAACCTTTACAACTCTTATTCACAAAATACTCGTAGTCCTGGGCTCCCTTGCAAGCATCATAACTCCAATGCAAATTATTGGTGAGGTTGGTGAATGGTGAACGTTACATCCACCGAACCTAAAAGCTTCTATCAATTATTCAATGTGTAGATAGATATAGATTCCCCATTTTAACTGTTAACAAATCTCGTTAGATCTAAAAATTCTCTCTTCTCCCTGTGTAAAATTGCTGGATTCACCAGTCACCATATATAAGATTATAAGGCTTATAGTCAAGGTGATGCAGGTGAGATTGCAAGTAATATAAAATAAAAGAGATCCTTTGGTCTTAGGCCTATGATAATTAATTCTTTGGAAGGTGTTGGAAGGAAAATTAGTTGCTGGGAATTAAGAGACGGCCAGCATCTAAACAACCTCGATCAAACAGTGACAGTTGGGCCACTGACATTTGAAATCTCTTGTCGTTAATCAAAGAAATCTATATAATTCTACCGGCCTCAATCAATTTTTTGACCAAAAATTGCAGCTTCTAATGAAAATTGATTACCTTATCGAGAATTGAGTGAGACTTGTACTTTAAAGGATAATGCCAGAGAATTCAAGGTGTAGAGAAACAGGCATTTAAACAAATAAGGACTTTAACATGTGAGGACGGCTGATATCACCTAATAAAAAAGAGAGTAACCGACATATTCCCACCCAAAGTTTGACGAAAACCTAAGTTGATACCCTAAGTTCTATTTATTTCAGATTCTCACCCTTAAAATAACAGAAAATGGTTAGATATAACAGTTTAGGGGTAAATTGGTCATTTCACAGAAGAGGTGCACATTAGCAAATCGCCGCCCCAAATAAAGCTCCGGCGCATGTTAGCCAACATCATTGTCGACGTTTTTTGCCTTTTTCCGATGATTCTTCCACAAAAAATCACCTTTGTCACCACCATTCGAACCCTTATTCTCCCCTCTACAAAACCTTACCTTTCACAACCCCTCATCACTCGCCAATTGCCAGCCACGACAGCTGCCACATACGACTAGTTTTTGTCGCCCTTGTCGACACATGTTAGCCAACATAATTGTCGACGTTTTTTGCCTTTTTTCGACGATTCTTCCACAAAAAATCACCCTTGTCACCACCATTCGAACCCTCATTCTCCCCTCTACAAAACCTTACCTTTCACAACCCCTCATCACTCACCGATTGCCAGCCACGACAGCTGCCACATGCGACTAGTTTTTGTCGGTCTCCACCGGCGAATGGCCACTAAACGATTGCTGGGGACATAAGGATTTTGTAGATTTGGAGACGCTGGTTGCAGTGGAGATGTCCAATTGGATTTTCGTCGTCGGAATCAATC